AAATAAAACTAATAGTAGAGTATTGTAGAACTTTACTTATTTATTTATTTGCGATAAGGTCTTGCTCTGTGCAGTGGACTGGTAATAGCTCACTGCAGCCTCAAACTCCTGAGCTCAAGGGATCTTCCTGCCTCAGCCTCCTGAGTAACTGGGACTAGAGGTGTGTGCTACCATACCTGGCTAATTTTTGAATTTTTTTTTTTTAAGACAGGATCTTGGTGTGTTCCCAAGGCTGGTCTCAAACTCTGGCCTCAAGTGAACCTCCTGCCTCAGCCTCCCAAACCTTTCAAATTAGAAGCATAAGTCAAGAGGTCAAGGTTACAATTAGCTATGACAGAGCCATTGCACTCCAGCCTGGGTGACAGAACCAGACCCTGTCTCTAAAAAATTAAAACGAAAAGAACAATGAGGAGAAAAGCACTCACTCTGACATTTCAAAACAGTGACATCGGTTGTAAAAATTTGGAGGATAGAATTTCCCTGAATCTAGTTTTGTTTTGTTTTGATTTTTTATTTTCTGTTCTTATTCTTTGCCAATACATCAAGGACAGTCTTGAAAGAATATATACTGAAGGGTGAGCAACAAGAGAAGGATTTGTAGAAGGGATTATGAATTACAAAATTGAATGTTTTGTGTGAATAGAGAGCAGCCTTAGTTCTAGAGCTCTTTCTTGCTTCCTGGTTTGGGATAAGAGATGGTAAAAATAATACTGATAATATTGTTAAGAGCTGACACATAATTCTTACTATATGCAAGACACTTTTCTCAGTAATTTATCATTTTTAGCTCTTAATTCCCACAAAAGTCCTCTGAGACACTATTATTATCCCCAGTTTACATATGAGAAAACAGTTTCTAAGAAGTTAAATGACTTGCCTGAAATCCACATAAGTAGCAGGTGATGGAGCTAGGATTTGAACTTAGTCATTCTTGTTTTGGGATCCGTCCTCTTAATACATTACATGGCCTCTCTAATTTGTGAATGAGTGAGTAAGTGTTTTGAGATTTAAAGTATTGATGCCACTTATACTCCACTTTTTTTGGAGGATGGATTCTAGGCAGGAGTCTGTGATGCATTGGGAATGTTAATGAATTTAGCAAATACCCGCTGAACACCTGCTTTGTGACAGGGATATGAAAGTGCTTGATAGGCAAGGTTCCTGACCTCAAAGAGCATATGTTCCAGCAGGGAATCAGACAATAAACAAGTAAACAGGCTGGACTTGGTGGCTTTTGCCTGTAGTCCCAGCACTTTGGGAGGCCGAGGAGGGCGGATCACCTGGGGTCAGGAGTTGGAGACCAGCCTGACCAACATGGAGAAACGCTGTCTTTACTAAAAATACAAAATTAGCCGGACGTGGTGGTGCATGCCTGTAATCCCAGCTACTCGGGAGGCTGAGGCAGGAGAATTGCTTGAACCCAGGAGGCGGAGATTACGGTAAGCCGAGATCGCACCATTGCACTCCAGTCTGGGCAACAAGAGTGAAACTCCATCTAAAACAAAAACAAAAAACAAGTAAACAAACTGACATGGTAATTTCAGATTATCAGTGCTATGGGGGAAAGTTAACTGGTATAGTACTCTGCAGGGATAGGTTCTGTAGGCAGTTTGTCACACTGTGTTTAATGTCATATAGCTTTCATGGTGTTGGATATTATCTCCCCATTTTTTTCTTTTCCTTTTTTTTTTTTTTTTTTTTTTTTTGGTGGTGTTTTGAAACAGTCTGGCTCTGTCAACCAGGCTGGAGTGCAGTGGTGCAGTCTCAGCTTACCACAACCTCTGCCTCTCTGGCTCAAGGCATCCACCTCAGACTCTCTAGTAGCTGGGACTACATGTGCATGCCACCACAACTAGTTAATTTTTTTCTGTATATTGTAGAGACAGGGTTTTGCTTTGTTGCCCAGGCTGATCTCGAATTCCTCAGGTCAAGTGATCTGCCGGCCTTGGCCTCCCAAAGTGCTGGGATTACAGGCGTGAGCCACTGTGCTTGGCTCTCAGTTTTTTTTCCAATTAACCACACATCTGCTGAATTAAAGGAGAGTGTTAAATACAAAAATGAATTTATTATGCAAATCTGCAGTTACCGTGTATATTCTTTTGGACTTGTAATAAGGGAGTATGTTCTAGTACTGAGAAATAGAACCAGAGAGAAATACTGTTATAAAAATTAAAAAAAAAATCAAAAAGGGGTAGCCACTAGCTACCATGCATGCCAGGAGTTAGCATGCCAGGCAGTTGAGCCTGACAAAGCGGTTCCAGGCTACTGTCCATGATCACTATTGGCAGGTCTGTTTTTGTTGAAACTTAGGGCCACCATGTGCTAGCCTATGTATATTGTCTTCTGTCATTTTTTTTTTATAGAGTCTAGGGCAGGAACCTGGGGTTATATACATTTCTTGAAAGGAGTTCTAGTGTGATCATAGTTTATAATAATAGCAGTTTTCATATTCAGTGCTTTCTATGTGCCAGACTCATTTCATTTTAACAGCTTTATTTATTTATGGAGAAAGAGGAGAAAGCCTAAAGAAGTTAAATAACTTCTCCAAAGTCACACAACTCAGGAGTGTGAAAGCTAAGATTAAACTCAGATCAGTCTTACTCCACATTTTATGTGATATTACCTTTTAACTAGATTGGTTTTCATGCTTCACTTCACACTGAAGAATATGTAAGAGCTTTCAAAAGTGAACTTCAGAGAGCCCTCTTAACTTCATCTAGTAGAAGGGCAATGTATTTTCCAGTTCCAAATTTCCGGAGTAATTAGTTTTCAAAGAGCAACTAGTAGAGGGGAGAGTATTTTATGAGTATGTATATGGAAAGTTAATGTGTCCTTGACATTTTTTTTATTCAGTAAAGGACAACCATTTTCTGTTTAAGTCATTAAATGGAATTAGTTTAGGAAAGTTATAGATGAACTTGCAAAGTAATTTTTTAGATTTCTGTGGTTTCATTGGATTTGCTAGCCTTTTGGTATTTCTCACTGTTATTTTATAAGATCAGCCAGGTACTTCAGTATGAGAGAAAGAAACTAAACTGTAGATTGTGAACTGGCTAGCTGTTTAATTTCCACTGTGTTCAGTTTTTTAAACTTAACCCTGAAAATTTTCCATTATGAATTTTCAATTTATTTTATTTAAAAGTATGCTTTTAAATCTCTTTGTATGATACTGCCCACTGTGGTAGCCACTAGTAACATGCATTAAGCACTTGAAATGTGGCTATTCTAAATTAAGATGTGTTGTAAACATACAATACCCACTGGATTCCAGAGACTTAAGAAAAAGAATGTAAATATCTCAGATTTTTTCTATTGATTATGTGTTGAAATAATATTTTGGATCTGTTGGGTTGAATAAAATTAATTTTACCTTTTCACTGTTTTTAATGAGGCTACTAGAAGATTTTTATTTATGTGACTTGCATTATGTTTTCTACTGAATAATGCTAATATTTGTCATCAATAATGTCAAATTCTGTGCTGTGAATTAGATAAAGCTGGTATGTCTTGACAGTATATGCTGTTAGTTTTTTAATCTTCTAGAAACTAAAGCTCACCTAATTGTTGTCATAATGAAAATGTTCATTTAAATACTTGGACCTATATTGCTTGGGATTAAGGAAAATCTTTTTTTTGAGACAGTCTTGCTCTCTTGCTAGTCTGGAGTGCAGTGGCGCGATCTTAGCTCACTGCAGCCTCCGCCTCCCAGGTTCAAGCAATTCTCCTGCCTCAGCCTCCTGAGCAGCTGGGACTACAGGCGTGTGCCACCATGCCCAGCTAATTTTTGTGTTTTTAGTAGAGACAGATGGGGTTTCACCATGTTGGCCAGGATGGTCTCGATCTCTTGATCTCATGATCTGCCCGCCTTAGCCTCCCGAAGTGCTGGGATTACTATAGGCATGAGCCACCGTGACCTGTCAGGAAAATCTTTTAATAGCAAAATGGATACATAAGCCACATGTGGAAACTCCCTCTGGGTACAGCTGTTGTTAGGGGAGGTGTGAGAGCATTCATTAGGATGATAGGTGAAAGAAAGAAAACAGTGATGATTAATGTGATGCTAGTAATGCAGGTCATAATATGACTTTGGTGAATCAGACATTTCTCATTGGGGGAAGCATAAGTCATAATTGATTAAGATATTTTCTTAAAATGCTTCCAATATTTAAGATATTTTCTGTAGTTTTATTAAGAATAATCATTTGAAGCAAAATTTTTTTTAAAAAAAGGTGTTTTTGGGTTTGCAATCTTTTTGTTTTGTTTTGAGATGGAGTTTCGCTGTTGTTGCTTAGGCTGGAGTGCAATGGCACGATCGTGGCTAATTGCCACCCCTGCCTCCCAGGTTCAATCATTTCTTTTGCCTCAGCCTCCCAAATAGCTGGGATTACAGGCATGCACCACTATGCCCGGCTAATTTTTTGTATTATAGTAGAGATGGAGTGTCTCCATGTTGGTCAGGCTGGTCTTGAACTCCCCACCTCAGGTGATCTGCCTGCCTCTGCATCCCAAAGTGTTGGGATTATAGGCATGAGCCACTGCACCCAGCCTGCAATCTTTTTTGTATTGCTGGGCTTCATTTTTTGGCCTTGATGCCATTTTATATTAGGGAACTGGATAATATTTACTATTTGATTGTTTAAGATATTTTATTAAATCATAATAATATCAAGGTCATATGCTAAATATGGTAAAAATTATAAAAATATTTGTTCTGTTATTAGTATTTGATTCATTACTTGAGGTCTCTATTTGCTCTGCTAGGAACTTCTTAGATGGTTTTGCATTAGTTGGCTGTCTGGCAGCCAGGGAAGGAGGATGTGCTAAAGCAACATAGCTTTCTCACTTTATGATTTACCTCCTAGCTTTGCTTACTAGCAACACAGCCAAGGAGAAGGTGAGCCAATGGTATTCTTTAAGTTGGCCTGTTTAAGGAGTTATTGACTAGGATTCTACTTTCTTATACTTAAGACTCTTAATATATTTTAATATAAATTTTACAGATCCTTCTGCTGAGGAATTGAGAAAACTAATGATGTTGCATGGAGGTCAATACCATGTATATTATTCCAGATCCAAAACAACACACATTATTGCCACAAATCTTCCTAATGCCAAAATCAAAGAATTAAAGGGGGAGAAAGTAATTCGACCAGAATGGATTGTGGAAAGGTAAGTTTAATTTTTTATTAAATTTAATTAAATTAATAAGTCTTTAAAAATTAGAAAACTTTCTTGTCTTGTCTTTTTTTTTTTTTTTTTTTTTTTTTTGAGAAAGGGTCTTGCTTTGTTGCCCAGGCTAGAGTGCAGTGGCACAATCACGGCTGACTACAGCCTCAACCTCCCAGGCTCAGGCAACCCTCCCACCTCAGCCTCCCGAGTAGCTAGGACTACAGGCATGCACCACTACACCTGGCTGATTTTTTTTTTTTTTGTATTTTTTGTAGAGGTGAGTTTCCCGTGTTGCCCAGACTGGTTTCAAACTTAAGCAGTCCTCCACCCTTGGTGTCCCAAAGTGCTGGGACTACAACTACTGCACCTGTCCTTTTTATTTCTTTTAAAAATATGTAACTATCTCCTATGTATTACCTCCTAATTGACAAGGTAAAAAATAATGTCTTAACACTACTCTTTAACCTCACATTGATGATTCTATAGCTTAGGATTTGGCATTCTAATAAAAGTAGTATGATAATGTTTTTGCGAGGAATTAGGGGTGATGACTCAGAAAGCCGTTATGGGAGAAAGTGGATCAAGCATGTGATTCAATAAATATTTGTGCACCTCTGATAGAGTAGGCAGTCTTCTTTGTTTTTGAGAAATAACAATGAACAAAAAGATCCCTTCACTACCTCATGGAGTTTATATTCTGTTGGGAGAGAGAGACTGAGCACTATGAATAAATTGTATCATGTTGTCTATTATATAGGTTTTTAGCATGTTAATACATCAAGATAATGTGGACCTGGAATGCTGGGACTAGGGGAAAAGTAGGGAGTAGAGTTTGGAATATCATTTGCTGTTTTTTAATGATTATATTGTGGTTCCTCTGCTGTTGGTTTGGAAATGATAAATTGTAAATCAGTGGTGGCCATTCATATTGACTTCTACATTTAAATATGTCATCTGAAACCTGAGGGATGAGCCAGAACTTAAGTGGTTTATATTTTTTAATGGCATGCAGTATACAATACATGTGAGCAATTGCTGATTTATAAAAGATAGAAGTAAAAATATTAATAATAATTTTATGTATGGATAGATTATAATCAGTATACGAGAGACTGTTTATCTCTTTGAGTTGCCGAATTTTCTTTTTTCTAGTTCTTGCTTTTACTAATTATGACACCCTCCATTAACTGTTCCAGAAATTAAGTATTAACTCAGTTCCTTTGTCTAGTGTATTTAGCTGCATAAATTCATGGAGAGAAACAACATAGTGGAAAAGGTTGCGCCTGGGCTCTGGGGACTAAACTCGGCAGTTCAGTATCCATATAACCTGATATAATTTTAGAAACTTTATGCTTGACCAGGCATGGTGGTTCACGCCCGTAATCCTATCACTTTGGGAGGCTGAGGCGGGCAGATCACCTGAGCTCAGGAGTTCGAGACCGCCTGGCCAACATGGTAAAACCCTGTCTCTATTAAAAATAAAATTAGCTGAGAGTGGTGGCTTGCACCTGTAATTCCAGTTATGTGGGAGGCTGAAGCAGGAGAATCGTTTGAACCCAGGAGATAGAGGCTCTGGTGAGCTGAGATTGTGCCACCGCACTCCATCCTGGGAGACAGACCAAGACTCCGTCTTGCGGGAAAAAAAAAATAAAAGCAGCTTTACGCAGTCACGAAGAACCTGTTTCCTCATTTGTGAAAGAAGGCTAATACCTACTGTGGTATTTGAGAAATAAAAATTGTTTGTGCATATAACCTGGCACAGTGCCTGGCATGTTGTAGAGGTATAATATATAAGAAGCTACTGTTATTTTATTTTCATTCTGTAACGTTAACAATTATTAGAAAATTCTGAAAATTCAAAAATATGTTACTACCTTTAGAAAGTCAAATATATTTTACATATTAAGGATTCTTTAAACCTTGAGGGATAAAGTCAAAGATTAGTTCCTAGAACAACCCACTGATTCCTTCCTTTGCACTGTGGTCTCATGACCTAGCCACTATCTATCCATGATATAGTATTGATTAAAATAGCTTTTAGGTATGTGTCTCTTCAAAGGACTGAGAAGTTTTCCATATATGAAGGTGTATCACATAGTTGAGCTGTGTTGTCACTAGGACTAGAATTTTTTTTTCTGGGGGCAATAGGTAGGCTTTGGAGGGAATGGGAGATTTCTGTGGACAGGAGAGTTGAGGGGAAAGGGCTCTTGCTGGGGGGATTTGATTTACTTAGAAAATGGTGTTTTCCAGCTGGGCGTGGTGGCTCACGCCTATATCCCAGAACTTTGGGAGGCTGATATAGGTGGATCACGAGGTCAGGAGTTCAGAACCAGTCTGGCCAAGATGGTGAAACCCCATCTTTACTAAAAACACAAAAATTAACCAGGCATGGTGGCACATTCCTGTAATCCCGCTACTCAGGAGGCTGAGGCAGGAGAATCGCTTGAACTTTGGAGGCGGAGGTTGTAGTGAGCCGAGATCATGCCACTGTACTCCAGCCTGGGTGACAGAGCAAGACTCCATCTCAAAAAAAGAAAATAGTATTTTCCATTACAGTTGTTTTCTTTGAATGTGTTCTTTTGGCCAAATGCAGCTAGGGAGATAAATAAATGGAAGAAACAACTTAGATAGTTACATGTTTTAAAATTCACTTTAATGGATTTAATCTTAGTCTGGAGTGAGGCTTAATTATTTGTCTTTAAATAATTGAAAGTGACTTTGGACAGCATGATTATATATCCTATTGGCCTCATTTTGTATTTGAGGAGACAGGGCCAGTAGGGTTCACTGATTTGCCCAAGAACAGAGCAGGATTTAGTGTCCAGGCGTTCTGAATCCTGTTTGTTTCCTCCTTTACCATTTATTTAAGCTTGTTATAGATGAGTTGGCCCATGTGGAAATGGATCAATGTTGGCATATGTTTTAAATGCCAAGAGTTCATTATGTCATTGTAACATGGAATCCTTTTGGTTAAATCATGACACTGTTTTTTATTCACACTCTAATCCCTGGTTGATCTCTTTTTAGCTGTGTTTTAATGAGATTTTATTATACTTAAAAATCTTAACATCGTATTGGCTATTTAATAAATGATACATGTTATTCTGTATAATTAGTTTTTGTTTTTATTCGAGCAGTTTGAAAAGGAACTGCCACTTTTAAGTATGTGCGGTGTTGCTTTCATTCCAATTCCCTGATGTCTGTGTTTGTGTCATTAGATCTGAGGTAATGTAGGCATGATTATAGGGCCCTGACTTTTAAGAAGCAAGGGAGTCCTTTAATGAGAAGCCTGTGTATATTAAAGTATGAAATTATTTTACTAAAACCTTTGTTTTGTAAATCTCATACTTATAGATAGTGTATTAAAAGTAATGGTTCTAAAAACTTTTGTCACAGTCTTTGTCTTGAGACAATTTTACATTGAAATTTGAAATGCAGAATACATAATGAGAAGCTGCTATCACATACCCCACTGGTCCATCAAGCCTGAGGAGAGTCATGGAGCATAATTTAAAAATTGGTCTTGTTTTTTGTTCTCGATTTTGTGTTGATCCTTGTAGATTGGGAACCTTGGATTGTGGGTTTTTTGTGTTTGTTTATGCTGTGATTAGATGGTCACATAGATCTGTTGTGAGTTGAAACAGAATGATAATTTGTTTCCGTTCATACCAACTCAATGGTATCTACTAGTAGGACTTTCAGTTTATCTTCTTTCTAAACTCCCAAACCATTTTACGCATGTTTGTCATGTGCTCACATATGAGCCAAAACCTTGATTTCTGATCACATTCAGTGTAAATATTAGAGTGCTTATTCAACTCATTTAAATAAAAGTTGATTGCAGTTTTATCTCTCATGAGTTGTTTTTTCCCATTTCCCTTGTGTTTTTGTGTTCTGCCTAAACACAGAGGCCATAGGACAAAGCAAGAGTGAGACTTCCCAAAATAGATGAATATTTCGCTTGCTATGACTATGTTTTGATTCGTTGTATAGATTGTAAACTCTTTCTCGTGTGTGTGTGTGTGTGTGTGTGTGTGTGTGTGTGTGTGTATATACACACACATCAGAATATATTTTCAATGTACATGAAAAAAATTCAGCATATAAGGAAACTGTGTAGTAATATCTTTTGGATAAAGATAAATTTTATTATTCTCTCCTTTTGGTTTTGAAAGAATAGTAGAAAATGTCAGTATAGTTCCTTTGTGCTTAGGACAAGAGGGGAAATTAGTAAATGTGAGAAATTAATCCCAGAGAGATTTTTAAAAAGGTCTTATACAAATATGCTTTTAGACAATGTTTCTGTCTATATGTCTGTGGATAGATAAGTGGATAAGCAGGGATTATTAGGAGTATACATAATGCCATAGAACAAAGATTTATCGTTAGGCAATTGAGACCAACTATTAAAGGAAGAAAAATTGGTTTGAGGAAGAATAAACTAAAAAATAGTCTAATTTTAGGATTTTGATTCTAATATCTGAATATAAGCAGAAATTTTGATAAAACATTTAGCCTGCTAATAAATCCATTTGGATACATGTCTCGTGACTAGTATAGTGTGTTCTTTACTATCATAATTTAGTAGTTATAGCATTTGGTATAGTTTAAGGTATTTTAGGTAGAATTATTAAATACATATTGACATAATTATATAAAGGACATACTCTGTATCATATATAGTTCCATTTTTAGAATCTGTTTTCTTGTATTCATACTTGTTGATTCAGTATTTTTCATTGGTTTTCTGTAAGCCAATTCAGTCATTTCTTAAATGATTATTATTTTTAAAAAAGTTTTGTGAGGTGCTGTTTAAATGAAAATGTCAAAAAAAAGTCTTGGATTTATGAGACAATACGAAAAGTATTTTTATCATGTTATTTATCAGTCTTTTTCCTAAATAACTAAGGGATGATTCTGTGGTATATATTTTAGGTTTAAAATCCAGAAGTTGTTTTGAAATATTTTCTAATATTAAAGGAGCTTGTTTTGAAATTTGGCTGATAGTATAAGTATGTTGGTTGGTTATTTCAAATTTGAAGTGAAATGATAATTTTAAAGGTAGAGTAGCCATATATAATTGAGTTTATTAGCAAGAAAACACCAGTTTAAGATGCTGCAATCAAATTAGTTTTAGTTCTGAAGTACAAAAGGAAGCAGACATTAGGGAGCTAATACCACTTAGTGTTATAATACTGGTGTTCCCCTGGATTTGAGTAGTGATGTGTGGTATGTTATGAGGATGTACGTGGTAGCTTCGGCCTTTGTAGAGTTCGTATCTTCAAATGGCCTTGGCTCTTATACATATAAAGATAGTATAAATTATTTATTACTCTTGAAGTTGAGATTCCTTATTTTGTCCTGTATTTTTATTTTATAGTTTCTGACATGAATTTGAAAATTGAGAATGCTTACTCTGTTTACTTATCTTGGAAAAGCTTAATATGTGAGATGAGGTTTTGAGGAATTCTTAATGATTCTCTGTTAACTGTGGACAGGGGGAATAGTGGTAAATATTAAAGTCGTGAGGATTAAAATATTAACTAGTTCAGCTCTGTGATTGGAGTTTTTCTCATCCCACTCTAAGATCATATTGTATTGGGACCACTAAAACTGAGCAAGAAGGAATAAAGTAGGAAAACAGATGGCCTGTTGTTGGTGAAATACTGTATGTTTAAGGATATTAATTTTTTTCATGAGACTCATTGTCACCAAGTATGGAACTCTAAATTGGTGTTGCTTTTTTGTTTCAGCATCAAAGCTGGACGCCTCCTCTCCTACATTCCATATCAGCTGTACACCAAGCAGTCCAGTGTGCAGAAAGGTCTCAGCTTTAATCCTGTATGCAGACCTGAAGATCCTGTGCCAGGTCCAAGCAATATAGCCAAACAGCTCAACAACAGGGTGTAAGTTTGTCTAGTTGGGAATTACTGCAAAGCTAGTTTTTAGCAGTGAGCATGGCCCCTGCTCTGTTACAGACAGACAGAAGGAGATATGAACCCTGGCCATTCACTTACAATAAACTTAATGAAATATGTGTGTGTGAGTGTCTTATCTGAAAATTATTTTTATGATGAAAATTTCATAAATATAAATAAGTTTTTATACTTATACTAGTTTCTCATGTTAAACTAGTGGATCTTTATTATTAGTAAGCTTTTTAATGGATTTTCATGAAAGTAATTATTTCGTCACAAGTAATATGCTACATTGCATTCTCAAACACTGACCTAACTGTATTTTCATTGTGTTCCATGCATAGAAAGTCAACAAAAATGTTAACATTTCTAGATTATTTTTGAAAAATTCAAAATTCATAACTGCAATTCTAAATATGTAAATATTTTACATAAATGGAAGTTTAACTGGTGACCCTTGGTTTTAGAATTGAGAGTTAATCTAGACTTTATTCCATGTGGCTTTTTTTTTTTAAGGTTGATTTAAGCTTTAATTGCAATCCTGGATAAATTGGTTTCACAGTTAATTGGTGGATTGCCTTACCTTGTATATCAGGTGGTTCATTATGATTAACCTTCTCATTATTTATTAAATTGCTTGCCTTGGGAGTTGGATATATATATATTTTTTTCCAAATGACCAGGAGTCTAATTAGTCTGAGAGGATCCAGTATCACTGCCTTCTGTAATTTTGTTGTCATTTTTATTTAACTTGTACTCATAAGCATATTCAAATTTTTTTCATGTTACCTAAAGCTTTTAATTTTTTTTGTTTGTTTTTTTTGTTTGTTTGTTTGTTTTGTTTTGTTTTGTTTTGTTTTGTTTGTTTTTTGAGACAGAGTTTCACTCATGTTACCCAGGCTGGAGTGCAATGGCGCGATCTTGGCTCACCGCACCCTCCGCCTCCTGGGTTCAGGCAATTCTCCTGCCTCAGCCTCCTGAGTAGCTGGGATTACAGGCACGCACCACCATGCCCAGCTAATTTTTTGTATTTTTAGTAGAGATGGGGTTTCACCATGTTGACCAGGATGGTCTCGATCTCTTGACCTCGTGATCCACCCGCCTCGGCCTCCCAAAGTGCTGGGATTACAGGCTTGAGCCACCGTGCCCGGCCTAGCTTTTAATTTTTTTAATGTACTGTCAGGGTGTATATAGCAAGTAATCCCTGAAAACCTTTTCACAGAATACACAGCTTTATCTTTTCTTACCCACACTAATAAAAGTAGAAAATAGATACGTTTTTTCAAAATCTTCTTGGTGACACTTTTAGGAAGAAATTACCTATTAGATTTACCTTTTGTACATTTCTTTGAAATGGGCTTTGGTGACTTCTTGTTCCCTTTTCATCTCAGGGGCTGACTTTCTCTGCGTGTGACATACTAGATTTTCTTTTTTCTTTTAATCATATCCAGTTTGTCTTTTTCCCCTTCACTGGCATGATCATCTGTGAGGATGTGATCTACTCAGAGTTGCCTGTCACATTCCATGCAATGGTTAGCCAGAGCCTGAGCTAATCCAGAAATGGGTTGGTCATCCAGCTTGTGGGACTTTTCTGTGTAGTCAGGTTCTCATTACTAATAAACCAAGTTAGTATTAGGATGAGGGGCTTTAGGTGAAACCTGGTAATACTGTGGTAATTTCTCCTGTGCCTTACTACTCTGTAGGGTAGCCCGTCATCTGGAGCATATATGGTAATTGAATTAATGCTGTGGACATGTGGACATTTCTAAGTAGAATAAATAACTGTTTGTAATTCATGTTTTGGTTTTTGTTACTTAAATGATTCTCTTGAAGTGTATTACTAAACAAACTTCTAGAGGAGCCAGGATGTGACTTTAGCATAGCATTTGTCATAGGTTCTGCATTTGTAAAGCTGTCATAAAGCAACTTGGTACAAATTGCCTTGTACACCCTGGCATCTAAGTATGCTTTTCTTAGAAATGAAGTACAATTTCCCTTGTCAATAAGGCCAAATGTCCTCATTTTTCTAGGTATAAATTTTACTGAATTACCCCACACGTTGACATGACTCTTAACTTTTTGTCTACTTGTGCAACAGTTAGCTCCATTAATAGGTTAATCAATATAGTCAGTTTTTTCCTTACCGAAACCACTGGTTTCATATTGGATTTAATGTGTTGAATAGTACCTTTCATAAAAACTAAAACTAGGAATACGAATTTAAGTAAGGTTTTTAAATCCATTTTTATGTAAGTTATTTGTAGTATATTCAGCAGATATTTATTGACCTCGTAGTAAATGCCAAAGCATTGTGCTTTAGAACTGGGTATTTAAAACTTATATATTCCAATTAATTTTTTATGGGAAAAATCATTGGAAAATTTTTTGGGTTTTTCAGCTATGAGAAAGATTCCGTTGCATTTCTTCTTTGGGACTATCTGAAGTAAAAATGAAAAAAAACAAAAACCAACACCCAAAGGGCTGTTAATATTCTAGAATTTTTCTAGTTACCTTGCTGCTTTTGCAAATAATGATCTTTTGTCAAATCAGAATATAAAGTTTGTGGTTTAATTTTCAGGGTTTTTTTAAATTGTCAATATTCAATATAATAATTCTCAGTTTTTGTTTTTTTGAGATGTAGTCTTGCTCTGTTGCCCAGGCTGGAGCTCAGTGGCGCAATCTCAGCTTACTGCAACCTCTGCCCTCCTGGGTTCAGACGATTCTCCTGCCTCAGCCTCTAGAGTAGCTGGGATTATAGGCGCTCACCACCACGCCAGCTAATTTTTTGTATTTTTAGTAGAGACGGAGTTTCATCATCTTGGCCAGGCTGGTCTTGAACTGCTGACCTTGTGATCCACTCGCCTCTGCCTCCCAAAGTGCTGGGATTTTGGGCGTGAGTCACCATGCCTGGCAATTCCCAATTTTTAAAGAGGGAAATACGAAAGTATGTACCACTAAGAAAATGTTGAAATGAAAAAATTGTTTTAACCTAAAAGTCAGACATTATTAACTTAAAATTTTTTTCCTGCTTTAGAAATCACATTGTTAAGAAGATTGAGACAGAAAATGAAGTCAGAGTCAATGGAATGAACAGCTGGAATGAAGAAGGTGAAAATACTGATTTTAGTTTTGTGGATCTGGAGCAAACCTCTCCGGGAAGGAAACAGAATGGAATTCCGCACCCCAGAGGCAGCACTACCATTTTTAATGGACACACTCATAGCTCTAATGGTGCCTTAAAGACACAGGATTGCTTGGTGCCCATGGGCAACAGTGTTGCCAGCAGACTTTCTCTGGACTCTTCCCAGGAGGAGGAGAAGGCTGAGAAGAGCAGCACTGATTTCAGAGACTGCACTCTGCAGCAGTTGCAGCAAAACACCGGGAACACAGATGCTTTGCGGAATCCACACAGAACTAATTCTTTCTCATTATCACCTTTGCACAGTAACACTAAAATCAATGGTGCTCACCACTCCACTGTTCAGGGGCCTTCAAGCACAAAAAGCACTTCTTCAGTATCTCCTCTTAGCAAGGCAGCACCTTCAGTGCCATCCAAACCTTCAGACTGCAATTTTATTTCAAATTTCTATTCTCATTCAAGACTGCATCACATATCAATGTGGAAGTGTGAATTGACTGAGTTTGTCAATACCCTACAAAGGCAAAGTAATGGTATCTTTCCAGGAAGGGAAAAGTTAAAAAAAATGAAAACAGGCAGGTCTGCACTTGTTGTAACTGACACAGGTAGATACTTACTAAAATTGTTTTCTTAAGAAACAGTCATGCCTTGATCATTTTGCTCTTACCCTATTATTGCTATTTCTGGTCAATACAAAGTTCTCATAAAAGTCTCCAAGAACGTCAAGTCATATAAGTTACAGTAAGCATAACGTAGAAAGCTTATTTATTAAATTTTTTTTTAAACAATTAGATTTAGTTGTGGCTGACTGAAAATTTTCAGAAAATTTAAACAGTAAGATGATTGGGATTCTGAGCATTCATTCCTCACATAGACCTTATCAGTTGAAGTTTTGAACTGTGTTAATATAAACATCTATTCAGTGCTTAAACTCCTGTAAGAATGAAATTGATTCGATAAGAGCAATTGTTAATTTCTAAAAGCTTGCATCATAATGATTTTTTAATTAATTTTGACAGCTGTTATAATTACAGTGGTAAACTTTTAGTGAGATTATTTCATATCTACGTATATTCATTAATTGTATTTTGTTTTTTAGTATTTTTCTTGTCATCAAAAACAAATGCACACCTAGTAGCAGACTGTGCAAGTCATTATAAATTAGTATCTGGTTTGAAGTTTTAGTTCCTTTTACAGAATATAGGATTTTTTTTATGGTGAGAGACCTCAGATTAATACTATACTTTAATTTATAGCTGTGGAAACAGATATAGAAGGAAGCTCATGGTTCTGTCCTAGAAAGTGAGAGACACTCTATGTGGGGTTTTTTTCTGTTTTGTTTTACTGAGTTTGATGTATTCCTATGAACTTTTAGTCAAAAAATGCTTTTTGCTATTTATGAAATATTTCAGAATAATAGATATTAGATTCCTTATGTCATGCCTTGGCCTTGTTACCCGAAGGTTATTTAATTCTGAATGCTTCAAAGAACTATGATTAATTAGTTCTATAAATGGGAATAAAATGAGAAATTTTGTTATTGTATGAAAGCATTTGGTAGATATTTGGGTTATGCATTCTGTACTACTTGAATGTTTAAAAGCATTATTTTGAGTTGTTTGCATTATGTTTATATGACACTTTGAAAATTACTTTTATACAGCAGAATTGTGATTAAGATTATTTTATGAATCATTTCTTGAGATAATATAGAGGGTGGTAAGGAAGTATCTGGCTTTGGATTTAGGTAGTTTAGCCTGAATCTAAATCCTTACTCTGCCACACTTATGCTGCAGGAGTATGGGCAAGTTAGTTTACCTCTGTGAGTCTTAGTTTTCTTTGTGAAGAGCAATGATAGATAGTCCAGGATGTTTGCCTCGTGGAGTTGTGAGCTTAAGAATACATGAGCAGGCTAGGTGCAGTGGCTTATGCCTGTAATTCCCACACTTCGGGAGGCCACGACAGGAGGGTCGCTTGAGCCCAGAAATTCAAGACCAGCCTCGGCAACACAGTGAGACCCTGTTTCTACCAAAAAGAAAAAAATAAATTGGCTGGGCTTGGTGGCAACGTGCCTTGGTCCCAGCTACTTCAGAGGCTGAGGTGGGAGGATTGTTTGAGCCCAGGAGGTTGAGGCTGCAGATTGAACCACTTCACTTCAGACTGGGCAGCAGAGTGAGACCCTGTCTCAGAAAAAAGGGGGAGAACTAGTTACATGCTGTCACAGTCACAGTTTGGTAAATGGAGTGGTCCAAAACTTTTAGGGGATATCTGTTTTTGGAAGCCTATTATAAAGGCTAACCCTCAGTACTAATATTTTTAAGTCTGAGGAAGACTCTTTTATGAGACCAGAACTTTTTACAAGCTGAGGGTTCTTTTTTCCAGCACTGTGTATCTTAGAGGACCAGAGGAAAAGGCTAAGGATGAGACTGATAATAGAGGAAAGCTCTACTTGTGCCTGAATTACAGTTAAAATGACCCTGATGAATCTCTTTGTAGCTCAGGATGATTAGAAGCTTTTGTCCTTAGGTGAAGACACTCATCTTTATGTCCTTAAATGTGGTATATGTCGCCAGATCTGATCTTTAATAATATTTAATGGCATCAGGATAAAAATTCTATTTGCATACAGATTTATGTTTATATTATAAACTCTTTTTTCAAGTACTTAGAACAGCAACATGGTAGTTGAGAGGCTCTGAAATCAGACTGTTTGGGACAGAATCACTGTTCAAGCAATAGGCTGTGTGACTTAATTTAACTTTTAATCTACAAAATGGAGATGATAAGATTACCTGCCTCATAGTTGTGAGAATTTAAATAAACACATACATGTAAAACTCTTACAGCAGTGCCTGGCACCTGCCAAGCACTGGATAATAGTAGCCATTTTTATTGTTATTTTATCCAGGCTTGTTTGTAGATTGCATGGCATAGTGATAATCAAAAAGGGTTTTACTTAGCTTCATGTAACTAAATGTATGCCAACACCTTTGTATTTTTATAAAATAATCAGCACTATGAAATAATTTTAAGATGCACTTTTTGACAAACTAATTAGAGAATTAAATTTGGCTTCTCTTGAGATGATAGAAATAATCTGTAGTCAATTCTGGTTTTTCTGAAAAGACTCCATTTTGGATGTAAGCATGTTTTAAATATAATTTCTAAAATTAACTAGACCTGATGTTTTAAATAATAAAAATTAGTTTGGGGTTTGAATGCTCTCTTTTTCCTTCTAGGAAATATGTCAGTACTGAATTCTCCCAGGCATCAGAGCTGTATAATGCATGTTGATATGGATTGCTTCTTTGTATCAGTGGGTATACGAAATAGACCAGATCTCAAAGGTCTGTATTCTTGCTTATGTTTTAAGAAAATTGATGCATTGTTATAAATATATATTCAAAGGGATTACAAAATCTTTTTAAAAAAATTCTGATTTTCCTTGGGACAATCAGTTCTTCCAAATTTTCTGTATTCCATTATCAAGGAAGGTGTAGGGAAATTAGTTTTTCTTTCTCCCTATAGAGATCTTCAGGGAAGAATATTCATCTTCAGTGTAAGGATACGTCATTGAAGACCAATAGAGACAGGTTCTGTATGGGGCATTTTCTAAATTTTTATCTGTACTTTTTGTAATGAATGGAAATTTTATGGTTCCTCTTGTCTTTGAGACTTTGGTAATTATGCTTTTTCTTGAGCAAATAACTTGATTAACTGTCCTGATACCCATGAACACCCCAACTTCTTGTTTGTAGGATAATTTAGCATTATTGAGTATTGCTAAAATATGTTAAATTCATCTGGCTAGTCTTTGCTGTAGTGAAATTGCAGATATTTGTGAACTAGTCAGTACTTTAAAAAGCATACATTCTGGGCTTTCCAGTGGTTACCTCTGTCTGAAAGAGATAATAATGTTTTCTTCTGATAATTCTTTCCTTAAATAAGGAATCACTATGGCACAGAAACTGCTGTGTTAAAACCAGGAGTTTCTTTTTGTCATGGTTAGTTTGCTGCTTAAGCTCTGAAAGGAGTTTTTAGAATGTTAAATAATTGATTTTCATAGAGTAACTTTTTCTTTTTTTTTCTGAGATGGAGATTCACTGTTGTTGCCCAGGCTGGTGTGCAGTGGCATGGTCTCGGCTCACTGCAACCTCTGCCTCCCAGGTTCAAGTGATTCTCCTGTCTCAGTCTCCTGAGTAGTTGGGATTACAGGCGGGCACCACCACGCCCAGCTAATTTTTATATATTTAGTAGGGACAGGGTTTCACCATGTTGGCCAGGCTTGTCTCGAACTCCTGACTTCAGGTGATCCCCCCACCTCATCCTCCCAAAGTCCTGGGATTATAGGCGTGAGCTACCGTGCCCGGCCAGAGTAACTTTTTAATGCATTGTTGATTTTATTTCTTGGTCCTCAAAACAATGCATTTAATAAATACATATTTGTCATCCATGCTATTGCTTTATAAAATTATAGTAATCTTGTAACTTAACACGCATACGAAAGGAAATGATCCAGGAAAGTAAGTTGTTACCAAAGCAAAAACTGAGGGGGGCTGTATGCTGATGTTTGACGATGTAGTAGGTCAAATTGTGATTCCTGTGCATATATATTTAGTTTCTGTTGCTGTAAAATTGAGAGATAAGTATAGATGTTAACTCTACTTTTCTGATACTAGAAATACAAAAAAATATATATTTAGTTTTTCTTTCCCCACCACTTCAGTCTGGATCTAGGCTCTGAGTTGCCTGTTTTCTACAATTAAGAAATCAAATAAAAGCCATGGAAGGCTGAGTTGACTGCTGCTTTCAGGTCGAATAAATGTATCAAAACAGTCACAAATAATTGGCTTTTTTTGGAGGCGCTAAGAAACTTAGATGACATTTACATGGTGATTGATAATCTTTAAAGTATTAGCTTCTTTAAGGATTAATGTCTAGGTAAAGCTAAAGAAAAAAGGGCATGTTTTAAAAATCTTTTGAAAAATTTTCACTTACATTTTGTTAACATTCCTGTACCCAGATACAGAAATAATTTAATCTTTTCCTCACAGGAAAACCAGTGGCTGTTACAAGTAACAGAGGCACAGGAAGGGCACCTTTACGTCCTGGTGCTAACCCCCATCTGGAGTGGCAGTATTACCAAAATAAAATCCTGAAAGGCAAAGCAGGTACAAATGAGCTCTCTTTGAAATCTTAGTGCTCCTGTGGATGGCTTCTGGATTTTGCTATTGGTATGGTTCTTATAGAAATGAAAGCAGAGTTGTAGCAATTAGCTTTTTCATTCAGGGGTTTTAAGGATATCAGTGTTAGGTTTTGTTGAATTGGAGGCTGTTTTCCTGAAGCAGGGAGTGAAGAATGTTTTACAAGGTTTGATTAATTTGCTCTGTATAAATTTAGATTGGGGATAAAAATCATGGGCATAATTTAAAGAAGCCTCTAACTTGAGAGCTAATTACTAGTCATTTGGTCATTGTATCACAATAAGAATGTTCAAATTTGTGTTGCTCAAGATTTGTATGAAGAAGTAGAATAACAAACGTAGAATTTTTAATGTATTGGAATTAAAAGTAAACACCAGTAATCATTCTCCATAGCCTTTAGTGAACCTATTTGTTAAGAGATACATCCTTGTTGTTGACTCTCATGACTTTTTAGTTTTGGATGTTAATAAGCAAAATCGTTAAGTTGTACTAATCATAATGCTTATTAAGATTTCATGTGTCTGTTATTTTTTTCCACTGAGTAAATTCACTGAGAAATGTTTTCTTAGAAATTAATTTTTTTTTTGATAACTGATTAGTTTTCTCATGGTTGTTTTGCAAAGCCAAAAAGAATTTTTTTTTAAATTAATTTCGCAGAAAAATATTACCCAGAAAGTAGTCAGAAGTTAGATATACAGTGAAATGGAAGGCATGCAGTTTAGTTTTATTGCAATCATTTCAGTGCCCTTATTGTCAGTTATAAAACTTTGGGCTGGCTTGTCAAACGACCCCAGTGAACTTAAGGCAAAAAGAAAGCAAGTAAATATCTCTGAGGACCTTTTTTGGGATGATAGTCTTTTTGTTGGCTTTGATCATCTGTTTATGTGGTCTTAAGTATGAAAAAACATAATTGTAGATATATATTTATGTTTTGTATGTACATTTATTTCAAGTATTATAAAGGTTTTCTTGGTCTTTAAATCTTTTCAGAGATTTCTGAGATTCTAGAATTTTGTGTGGCATTAGTCGGTCTGGAGTAGCTGTTATTGAACTTGTTGAGATTTAGTTGTATTATGGTCTAGGTAGTTAAAATTTAAGTATTGCTAATACGGTTTTGTGGTAGGTTGGTTTTTCTTTTTGTATTTTCTGTGTGCTACTAAACAGATGAAATCTTCAGTTATAAGATAAGAAATAAGTAGCTTAAGGAAGTACACAATACTTGTCATATGTTAGGCATTTATGAAATAATTTACTAAAGAATGTTGAAAGAAGAAAAACCACCATGTGTATATGTGCAGTAGCATCTTCAGTGCTCAGAGTCTCTCTGGTGGGTAGTCTTGTTACACACGTCCTTTTATCCGCAGTCTGCATTTAAAATGTTGACCTTAAACAAACATTCCTTAGGAGTGGCAGAGAGCTAGTCCTCTTTTGTCTTTCCTTCTGTTAGAAACAATCTTACTATAAATGGTTACTATAAACACAGTACTGTCATTGGTTACTTAAATGTCTTCATCAATTTAGCCACCTGATTTTTATAACATTTTAATACCTTCTAGAATCACATCCCCTTCACATCAAAATGTGGGTGGTAAACCAGAAGGTAAATATTAGGGGAAATATTTACATTTCACCTACCGTTGAAAACTGTCAAAAGGAGATTGTCTGGTCACTAGAAAAGGTGATATGACGGTTTGTATTTTATACTCTTACTTTACCCTCATGTCATTTACTTTTATATCCTAAGCCTTTTCACCCATTAGCAGCTCACCAAAATATTTGCTACATATAAAATTAATAGATTGTCCTTTATTATAAAATTTGATTGCAACTAAGCTCTGCTCAGAACTTTTTTCAGTGCCTTATTTCTCTTTGCTTGTTATTTCCTGATCTTTCTTTCTCTGGGTTATTATCAGACATGGCACTAAATATAAAAATATTGAGGATCGGTCTAGGAATTAGAATCTTTGGCTTCTGTGCACTAGTTTAGAAAAAAAAAAGATCAGTTCTAATGTTTGGCTTATATGTCTAGGCAAAGTATTAGGACAAGTAGCATCCTTAGTCCTTTTTGAAACTTTAGTTTCTTAGTTGTCATATCCAAAAGCTCTTTAATTAGACCAGTGCAACCAGGGGATCTCATCCATCCATGACTTCTTTTGGAGGCTGCTTCCTGAGCAGTACTCATTAGTGATACTTCTCATTGATGATCTCATTGTTTGGAACAATTTATGCTCCAAATTTCATGGTTGGGGCCTTTTACCCTTTCCTGGATTTCCAGGATGCAGATGTTTTCTATCCCTTCGACAACTTCAGTTTTCGTTCTAAAGAACAACAGTTTTAAAAATCGTATTAGTCATAGATTTATTCTCAGCGATTTCTTTTTCACAGACTTGGGTCCTGGCCTCTGATTTCTCCAACCGTTCCTCCACATTCTCCATGTGCCCGTCTAGTTTGTCAAGTTTTGATGAGCAGTTCTCTACTTTGCCCTCCAGTGAGGACAGTGTGTCCCTGCATTTCCCTGAATCTCACATGAAGCAACTCACTCCGCTCGTGGAGGGACCCACGCACTCTGCTGCACTGTGGAACAGGTCAGCCAGCCCAATGGAGAGGAACACAATGGTGTTGCCTCTCAGGCCAGGGCATTGGGGGCGCATGGACCACAGAGACTGTTCTCTTCTCAAGCATAAGTTTTCTGTTACTTTCAAGACAGTATCTTAGATAACTAGCCCTTCAGATATTAAAGTCTGGTAATTCTCCAACTTGTAAGGCATAACTCATGGTTACACCTTTGAAAGGCAGTTGGTTGTGGCTGTTCAAACTTCAGCACTCCTTTTTTTGGGGTCTAGTTGCACCCTCTGTTGAAGTGTGATACTGACAGTCCTGAAATTCTTAACAGATTTTCAGCTTAGATAAATGGACTATTAAAATTTATATTTAGCCTTTTAAAACCCTCCAGCAACACTGGGTAATCTGCTTAGGATTCTGTCTTTAGTTTGTAATCGTATAGCTAGCATACGCTATTCATATGTCAGAAACTGTAGCTCACAATACACACACTGCTATTTTGAAGCAAGTAGGATTTGACCCCACTGAGATGCCAGTCAGTTTGATTTGTATTTATGCTGTTGATATATGGTTGCTGAAATCCAGAAATGCTTGTATGGGTTGCATAGTTAGATGAAAGATGTTGATGATTACTGGTCAAACCAGGAAGAGTTGTTTAAGTCCATGAAACCAGAGATTTTGCTAGTTTTCCTGGTGGTGCATTAACTTGGCTGACTTTTCACAGAACAAATCTAAAATAAACGGAAGAGAAATACTGGGTTTGTAAGTTACATATTGGTACAGTCTACACAAAGTAGATTTGTCTGGAATAGCTGAAGTGATGATATATTTTGGTTTTGTTTTACTGATGGTATTTTTGTTTATAATAGTAGAGATGTGGCTGAGATTGTGGTTTTAGAATGTGATTTTTAATTTTTTTTTACAGCATACTCTTCTTGGAAACTAATAGTAGTATCCCAAGAGACCTATGACTGAAGTTGTGTTTTAATCTATTTCTCAATTACTAGTGAAGCTAAAGGTGATAAAGGAAGTAAAGTGGCATGCAGCCAGTAGGCTCTCCAGAGTGTGATTTTGTATTCTTGTATTATGTTGTGAATTTGGTTTGGATATTAAGAGATGTTGGTGAGTCACACTAGGCTACAGTTGTGTTCTCTAAAGCGTTGATATTCTGATCACACTTGAATGTTTTTAATTGAACTTGCATTATTAAACCAAAAGTAAAATTACCTATAGCAGGGGATAATGTGAAGCGGGGGATAATGTGATGTGTGTTCAAAAGAAAAAGCTTGAATTTAGGATGAAACCTCTTCATGGTTTGTGACCTACTAAATTATTGTTTGATCAGATGGCTGGTAGGAATTTCATGTTTGTTGTACATGTTAATTAGCTTTAAGTTCTACAGATACTTCTTTTAGGAAACAGCAAAGAATATTTGGAGAAATTTATATTTTTCATTAACTTTTCGCCATTACAGAGAGCTGTACAGTCCCTGTAAGGCTATCGGAGGGGGTTCATCTCCCTGATCACTTCTCATCCATGTCCACCTCAAGGGACTGTGTGTTACAGGATATTTTATATTTATCTTTTGGTGTATTTTTTTTTTTTAAACTCTCAGGACACTTTGAATTTATTACAAGTTTTTATCTGCTGATGAAGACTATAATTGAAGCAAACCATTTTAAAGTTACAGAGTTGCCTTTTATTAGATAAGGAGATAATATCAGTAGAGATAACTGTATTTGGAATTTCCTAAACCTTTTTATATGAAAGTAATGGAAAACAAATTTCTTGAAAAAGTTAGAGAAAATCAGTTTATAATATTTAACCATTAAATTTTTTATTTTTTTATTTTTAAAGCAGATATACCAGATTCATCAATGTGGGAGAATCCAGATTCTGGACAAATAAATGGAATTGATTCTGTTTTGTCAAAGGCCGAAATTGCATCTTGTAGTTATGAGGCCAGGTATGTAGAAGTTATGTGTTATAATTCTTAATGAATAATTTGGTTAATTGCTTTTATATAATTTTTTGAACTATAACCTCCTGAAGTGGATTCAGGCATGCCAGTCAAGCCAGTGATTTAAATGTTACATCTTATGGAAATAAATGGTTTTAGCCTTAATCATTTTATTCATGCCCCCCACAGCCCCTCACCAGTGCTAGATAACTTTAAACAAACAACTTACTAGTTCCTTGATGAGAACCAATAGGTCCTGCAGTGGGAACCAAAAGAAATTGGGCATTGTCATTTTTATTGTCTTTTGAAGCATGAAATAAAATAATTAGATTTTTTTGAATGGGAGAGGACTTTAATGTTTATCTACTCCAATCTTTTGTTTTTGTTGCTAAGAAAAATCTCTTGTAATCCACACTTCCTGATACTCAGTTTTTTTAAACGTTAAAACCCAATTGCCTATTAAATTATAAGTAAATAATTTCATTATTGGCATACTTAGTATCTTTTCACTTAAATTTGGTAAGAGGGTTGTCAACTTGTTAGCACCAACATATAGGTCTTTATCTTACAGTGATCTGAAACCATAATTATAATTGGCTCTTTCAGTATAGGAAGAAACATACATATATGTTCCTCATAATTTAAGAAATCATTTTTAAATAATTGGAATAGTTGTAAAAGTAGAGGGAGTAAAAATTAAAAAGGGAAGTCTTCATTTTTTTTTTTCCTGTTAATTGAACACAGACATTTTTACCTATAGAACACAGCAAACCTTACACATTGCTGGCAAGTGCTAAGGTATTAAGTAATTACAAGAAGAAACAGAGCCTTAGTTACATCTCTTTAGTATTGATTCATAGTTGTGACTATTGAAGCATTTAATCTGAAGAAAAAATATTTGAGCTCAGCATCATCTAATCATAATAGTTTTTTAATTTGCTAATTGTTTTATTTAAAGTATATTTAAGTAAAAAAGCATGAAGTTCAAATGTGCATGCTTATATTTTAAATTGTTTCCCATTTATGACATGCCACACTTTTACTCCTAGCCTAACTTTGCCTTTCTTATTAACAGAATTATGTTTTAATGATTTACATTGTTTGATGCTGTGGCCAAGGAATTGAAACTTACTTTAAATGATAATTAAGTCCAATACAAATGTTTCGAATTGTTACACTACTTTTGATTAGCACAGACACTCTAGAGCTGAGTTTATGTTGTGCTTAGTAGGTTAGTCTCTTTTTCCCCACTAAGTTATTGAATGATGGCCTGGTCTTCAGATGGCAAGACAGTTATGTGCACTATCTGGAGGGTGTGATGAAGCCCAGAAATATTCTCAGTCCTTGAGTTTCGCTGGTTGGTAAAATGCGAGCTCCATTTACTCCTGCTAGGCTGCCTCTGCAGGGTCTCCCTTTATACCTTCATACCCAGTCCCCACCAAGATGAATGCTGGCTGGGGAACAGGGCTGCCTCCAAGTGAAAGTGCCACCATATCTGGTGGCTTTAGACTCTAGGAGCCACAATTGTGTCTAGGCGTTAGGCTTCTCTTGGGTGTTTGGATGGTACATTTGTATTTACCCACAGTTGGTGACTGTCAAGCTTAATGCCTTGCAAAAAATGGGTGGGGACAGTATATGAGGGCAGAATACTATATAGTGAGCCATTAAAGTGCCACTTAAGTGTAGATGTTTAAAGAAGATGCATAAAGTAATGAAAATGAATTTAACTTGAAGAAAAAAAAATACAGCCATGAAATTTTTGTCACTTAATTGTAATTTTCTGTTTTCTAGAAGGCTATTCCTAATGAAAGTTTCTAGAAAATAGTTTCTGGATACTTGTTTTTGTTGCCATCCAACGGGTTATATTTTCCTTATCTGAGGAAACCTTTTTTTTTTTAACAAGTATAAGTAACTGCATGAGAGAAATGCTTCTAAGTTTGGCGTGGGACTAGATTGTGGGGATGATCTGCTCGGTTTTACACATTGGTGAGTTTTCACTATACATAGCCTAATAATGGGGCCAGCAAAGGATAGAATGTGAATATGAAACGGTAGAAATACAAGATAGAATGTGTATATGTGGGTCACAGTGTGCCCAGCTGTTAGTAGTTGGCCTATACTTACAGTAGAGAGCAAACTGTGTGTAGTAAATGAGAAGGTAGATTGTACATGAATAGGTAATGATATACAGATATCCTAGAATCATAGATTTTTAAAGCTAAATAATTTCTAAACCCCATTTTCATGTGGTTTTATAAGAACCCACTACCTTTCCTACTTTATTGTTGTTTTTTAGGATGTAGAGTGGACAGTGACAGTGGTTTGATGGCAGTTTTTTATTATTTATTTATTTGAAGTCAGAGTCTTGCTCTGTCGCCTAGGCTGGAGTGCAGTGGCACGTTCTTGGCTCACTGCAACCTACACTTCCCAGGATGAAGCAATTCTCCTGCCTCAGGCTCCCGAGTAGCTGGGATTTCAGACACCCACCACCACGCCTGGCTTATTTTTGTATTTTTAATAGATTTGGGGTTTCACCATGTTGGCCAGGCTGGTCTTGAACTCCTGACCTCATGATCCGCCTGCCTTGGCCTCCCAAAGTTCTGGGTTTACAGGCGTGAGTCACTGTACCTGGCTGGCAATTTTTATATGTTGTAGAATCTAACACCAAATACAACTGTCTGAACAAAGCATATTGCCAGATAGAATATGTCCTCTGAACTTTGAACGTGGGAATAAGCTGTTTTTGCAGCATGTACTTACGAAGTTATGGTAATTTGTCCTGCATGGGATTTTAGTTGGAGTAGATGAGTCATGGTAATGAAGAGTCACTTCAGACTTTTTTGTAATTGTCTTTACTCATTTATTTTCTAAGAAACAAACCTCATTTCCCAGCCACTGACTCAAGGTATTTGGCCCTCTTAGTATGGCAAACCTAGGGCAAACCAAAGGGAAAAGATTTTCCTTTTTTGTTTGTGGCTTCCTTATAGTGTCTAATAGTTTTTAAACATTTCTTTCTCTGGGTACATTTTACATGAGTACATAAGTAGATGTACCATATTTTACTAAGTAATGTGCCTCGGAAAATTTTTGCATAAATCAATGTTTTGAAAATGAAACTATTGTGAATATAAGAACATGTTATTTGTAGGGATTATAAACACTTTTTTTTTTTTGAGATGGAGTTTCCCTCGTTGCCCAGGCTGGAGTACAATGGCACAATCTCGGTTTACTGCAACCTGCACCTTCTGGCTTCAAGCAGTTCTTCTGCCTCAGCCTCCCGAGTAACTGGGATTACAGGCATTCACCACCACACCCAACTAATTTTATATTTTTAGTAGAGACAGGGTTTCTCCACGTTGGTCAGGCTGGTCTTGAACTCCCCACCTCAAGTGATCCGCCCGCCTCAGCCTCCCAAAGTGCTGGGATTACAGGTGTGAGCCACCACGGCCAGCCTTAAAAATTAATTATCTTTAATTTGTAAACTTAGCTTTTACATGCTGAATCTGTGTATCTGGCATAATTATTACCTGAAGAAGTTTCCCTTTTCAACAGTAGACCTTTTTTTCTGCTTTAATAGTTCCTGATAACTTTTTCTAAACTATTTTATGTTTCTATATATATGTCTAAACTGTTATGTATCTACTTCTGCGTTAGTGGACAAAGCCTGTTGATCATAGGTCATCCTTTTCTAGGTGAGTGCAGGGATCGTCCCCTTGGACATCATGGAGTTTGCTTTATTTACTCTCCCATAACCCAGTATCTCTCTAAGTCCCTGACACTAAGAATTGTTTTCTTTACAGCTCTGACAGCCATAACTTCCTTTACTGTCATTTTCCTTCCTCTTAAGCATTTCTTATCTACCAGGGACTTAGCACTGAGACCATTTATAATATTACTCTTTTCATAAACATAAAAAATGCATGTGATTTTTCTATCTACTGCTGAGTAACTTGGAGGACTCTTCCATCTTGGCTCTTATGGTCTGAATGTTGGAAGGGTGCCAGAGGCCTATGAGTAATTGGTGGCTGTGTATATGTTTCTTAAAACAGGGCATGTGTCCATGCTGTATAGATAGTTAGTAAATATTTATTGAACAGATATGTAGAGTAACCGTATTATATAATAATATGTAATTTAATGAAACATTGCTTTATTTTGCTTGTTTTTACTATAATGTTTTTCCTTGGTTCTTTACCAAGTGATAAAATAGAATTTTACTAATTATGTATAATTCTGTAGTTATAGTTTTGTGCTGAATGCTCCAAAAATCAAAGGTAATGCGGGGCATTGAGACACACAGATTTAAAATTTACCATTTTCAATTAGGTCCCTCAAAGTTCTGGAACCCTGGCTCCTGCCCAGAGTGATGTCCTACCATATACAATGCTGTTGGCATCTCAACCACTGTGGAGCCACTTCAGGAGCATGGAATTGGTCAATTGGGAATTGGGTGGTAATAGGATGAGTACATTTTGTCTGTTTGTCACATAGCACTGTTTTGTGTAATTCTTTTCGTTTATATTCTTTGTCTTTGGGGGATGAACCCTGGCCAAACTGTGCCATGTATTAGGGGAAGAAAACCTCTTTTTGACAGCATATTCCTGCTCTGTGGTGGTTGTGATATCACCAGCATATGGCATGCTGGCATCTCTGCAAAGGGGCCAGAGGTATGAATTTTAGCAGAAAGCTTCATATACAGACAAGAGCCAAACCTGGTCTTTTAATGACATATTTGGCACATCTTACATGTGTCATTTACGCTATTCAGACAGTTGTGACTTTCTTTGGGGGGAGATAAGCCTGTAAATTTTAATTCCTCTCTTTAACCCCTAATGAGAATGGAGTTAAATGGAAATTATAAATTAGTGGCATGGGGAGATATCAACATATTTGATAAATATTTGAGTTTAAAACTTCTTAGAATAACCTCCATTGTGTTTTTGTTCTCTCTCTAGGCAAGTTGGCATTAAGAACGGAATGTTTTTTGGGCATGCCAAACAACTATGTCCTAATCTTCAAGCTGTTCCATATGATTTTCATGCATATAAGGAAGTCGCACGAACAATGTATGAAACATTGGCAAGGTACAGTGTATCAAACTGTCATTTTGTGTCTGTGTTTTCCTTCTTGTAGCTAATAGTAAAGATAGTGCAAGTTTTCTTTAGGATTGTCAGGATCACTTTTGCTAGACTTTTATCTTTCAGGAACCGTCTCCTCGGCATCCCAGTTTTTGAGGCCTTCTTTCTTTGGGCAATTTCCAGGTAGTTCAGTCTCAAGGGATAGTTTTGTATTGCTAAAATTGTTCTTGTGCTACCCTTGGTTGATGTAGGATCTGATTGTTCACATACTACTTCTAGTGTGTGGTTCTAGTTTTCTTCCCGTGGAGCCAGATAGGTGAAGGATGGAATTTTTAACCTGGTTATTCTCTTATATTGCATTTTAATTATAGTTTTGTTCAAAATTAGAACTGATGGGTTGATAACAAGTGGAGACACTTTAAAACTTTATCTTCTTAAAATCATTAGATGTGCCGAAAGTTAGTTTTCATAAAAGGTGTTCTTTAGTAATAGTTCCAAAATGGTTGATGAGTTGGCTTGAGAAAAGGTGATTAATTTAAAAACTGCAGATATATTTAAGAATATTTAAAAGTGTGTACATAGTTAATACTAACCCAGAACTCAAATTTGTTAAAAGTATATTCCAGATTAGATATGCTGTAAACCAGGGGTCAGCATAGTTTCTCTGAAGGGAGCCAGATAAAGTTTCTGTCACCCAACAGAAATACTCAACTCTGCGTTGTAAATGGAAAGCAGAGCATGGTGCAGTTCCAGTAAAAATGCGTTTACTGGATGTTCGGCCTAGGTTTGTCAACTCCTGGGCAGTATTAATATTCCCAGAGATAGACTTCTTGCCACTGTCTTCACTGCTGCCTCTTCCTTTTTGTGTTAATTTGAACACCAGTATCTGCTAAGTACAGGTGACTGCTAGATGCCGCTAGTCTCAGAAAGGAGTATCTAATCCTTGCCTTGTGGGAGCTTGCTCTTTAGTAGGAGAGAGAGAAAATGTAAAAGAACTGATTGTTTCCTGGCATGAGTATGTAGAATTGAATGCTGAATGATAAGCCACTTACTGTTACAGCTATCCTATTAACACAAAGAGAACACACTAATTAACTTTGCAGTTAAAAGTTGGGTAACTAAATAAATAAATCTCAAATACAGGAATGTTAGTGTTACCAAGGGGAATGTCTTTTAAATCCTCTTTGAAAGGTGAAGCCAGTGGTAGCATCCAAACGAGGGGTAGGGATGGGTGACTGAGGTACGTACTATGGTGCTTCTGTGTCCTGGGCATTGAGGTTCTAGAGCAAACCATCAGCCTGTGCCTGAGGTTAGGAGGATGTGAGAGAGCTGTGACACATAATCCTACACAGTACACGGTCCGAGTAGAAGGCTGGAGACAGTTTCAGTGGCATGTTTCTATTCTTAGGGGAAAAATATCCACAGTGTTGTTCTTCTACCACCCTTGGGAAATCTCGTCTCAGCTTCTTATTCTCCCTGCCTCAGGGCAACTTTGACTCTGAAGCAAAATACCTCATACCAGGTATACCCTTCTGTTCTTAAAAATGTCATGCTTTAAGCCCAAACAAAACATATTTATTTCTTGAATATAGAGAGTTTATTTCTCAAGAGAGATACTAATCTGATTGTAATCTACCTACAGTAAGGTGTAGGTGAGAGATAAGGACCGCTCTCCTAGTATACATTTCCAGGTGGATTGTGAAAGACATAGTTTTGATCCTGAGGCCTCTTAGATTTCCTCCCATTTCTGGTCCAGTTCAATTTTGTGCTTTGTTAGTCCTTATATTTAATTACCGTGGGGGCCATATAGCAACTCTTGTCTTCCTTTTTCTTTTCTCTAATTAAAACAAGTTCTCTCTGTGGATAGATCCTATGAGATGATTTTGTAAAAAGTATTTCTACATGCACAGAGTGTAGATGTTATTCTCAGACAGGCAGTTGGGATGACTGGTCACTTTATCCTTCTGTATTCTAGGCGTGGTTCAGTGAATGGAATTTAACTGCGATATTTTTGTTTTAGGAGAGCAGCAATTACTCATTTGACTGATTCGCCTAATTTTTCTGTTCCTTAAAGGATTCTCATAAACGATTAGAATAAATGTTTTGACAGTTCAAATTTACCCACCAGTTTTCAACTCTTCAAAGGTTTATAGAAGTATTCTCAGTATAGAGAAACTGGAATAATAATGTATGCTGTATTTTTGTGTTAAAAATTTTTTTTGTTGTTATTTTACTCCTTATACATTTTCCTATCCAATATGTTGTATTTTGGTAGTCAATATGGAGAGAGAGAACACACGAATTAACTTTGCAGTTGAAAGTTGGGTGACTAAAATGGCACTTCAGCCAATTGATTTAAAATGCCTTGTGAGGAAGTAGAAAAAACATAGGATAAGAAGACTTTATTTTGCAACATTGGGTCTACCAGATGGTGGCTGTGGCTGTGATTCGTTGCCTTTGCTCTGTGTTGATAGCTACACTCATAACATTGAAGCTGTCAGTTGTGATGAAGCACTGGTAGACATTACCGAAATCCTTGCAGAGACCAAACTTACTCCTGATGAATTTGCAAATGCTGTTCGTATGGAAATCAAAGACCAGACGAAATGTGCTGCCTCTGTTGGAATTGGTTAGTATCTAGCTTATCTTATACTCAAAAGAGTTGCTTTGAGATTCTTGAATATCAGTTAATTTTAAGGAGTTTTTTGTTTTTATTAGCTTCCTCTCACTTGTAAAACAGTTTTTAGCATTGCTTGCAGTTTTGTGATAGACGAGATAAGTGTTGGAAATACAAGTAAATGGTTGATAATCTTTGCAGTAAATAAGTTGGAATATTTCTCATTTGTTCTTTAGAAATTGGAAATGTTTAATTCAGCATTTATAAACAATTTTTTCCCCCAAAAGTGAATGGAAGCTATATTGAAAGCTAAGTGGTGGTATGGGTTTAGAGTTACATATTAAGTCTCAGTCTTGTTACTCTACACTTCAGCGTCCTGGAATGTGGAGCTATTCCTGTCTTCACTCAGTTGTAGAAGTCACCCTGACTACAAATGCTCTCAGTAACTGTCCAGTTTCTCCTCCACCTCCATCCATGCTGTCTTTAAGCCTTGTACTTTGTCTCTGCAGCTGCTTCCAGCACTTAACCCTGCTTTTTTTGATTCTTCCAGCCATGTCCTCTGGAACTCTCTCTGTCATACTTAAGCTTCACCTCTTCCGTTCTTAACCTACTTACTACCTTCTGGCAAGATACCCCTTTTCTTGCCATTCTCTTAGTAGAGCCAGTTTGTCCCTGCCATACTCAGTATGCTACAGGCTTGGAAGGTAAAGTTAACTTAGTCTTAGCTTGCCGTTGTCACTTCCAACCATTATTCCTCCATCTTCATTCAAAAAACCCTTCTTTCTTTCTCCAAAGTTCTCTGTCTCTTTTGTACCCATGAAATTTACTGGTGACTGAGTGGTGATGCAGAGAGGCTAATGCCATTGAAAGAAGAATCGGTTACTTCCCCTTCCTGAGAGGAGGGGGCACACCGTGCTACACAGGGCTACTGGGGAAGCACCAGGATGGTTAGAAGATGGAAGCAGAAGGAGTGGCGGACAGAAAGCCTGGGCCCCAGAGCCTTTATTAGGGTTTTTTTCAAAAAGGCAAGGCAGGGCAGAGGAAACAGTTTAGGAATGGCTAGTTTAAGTAATTCTGGCAGGCTCTGGGCTACAGGGGTGGTTGCTAGTTGCCTGGTAGCTGGTCCTGGGACAGTTTAGGGCAGGAGGTGATTAGGTTGCATATGAGAAGTGTGCTTCCAAGTAAGTGGTTTACTGTTTTTAGGAATTAGCCAGCCCTGGAGGGCAGTCTCTTCCCCAGCCAGCAGGATTTTTAAGATGTCAAAACACTGCAAGATACAGAAAATAAAAAGTATGATTAATACATTCCCAGCATTCCTACAGTTACTGGCTAGCCTACTTTTTACCCCCTGATGTTGGCCCACAGATCTTAGTAATATTTCAGTTAGGAATTTGTTTTTAATTATACTTAATTTTCATTTATAAATGATCACATGAATCCATTCTTTTAAGTTCAAGCATATGTAATAACAAAGTCCCACTTTATATTTCCACTCCTCAGTTCCTTTCCCCTCCACTGAACTCACTACTTTTATCATTTTGGTATGACTTACCAGAACTTTCCCTCTTCATGAATCTCTGTATTAACCTTAGAAAAGTGTATAGTTTTTGTATAAGTCTTCAGTAAAACCAAGATATATCCTTGATGGAAGTCTTCCCTTTGTCTGGAGATTTTAGTATTCACAGAGAAGCCCATCTAGCAGCTGAACCCTGCAGATCCCTGCCCCTCCTCAGGGCTTGGTGGCCGTTTCCTTTGCCACTTCTGTGGCTGCTGCCCACACCCACACTTTGAACTTCACTGCCTGTCTCTGTGTTTTGAAGACTCTTCCGCCCTCAGTTCCCGCTGGTTCGTTGGGCTTTTTGGTTTCCCAGTCCAGTAGCACTCTTATTATTCTCATTTCCCTACCTGTTGTGGGTCCCGTGGTTGGGAACATGAGCTACTCTTTGATCATTGCCTTCAGTCCTTACCAACGCCCACTCTTGAGATCAGGATGCTTTCTCTATTCCTACATCCGGGTAGGTACTGAAATGGCACTTACGTTAGAGCAAAGAGAAACTTCTGTCCAGGTACCCTGTTGGTTATAATCTGAAATACTTAGCAAAATTCTACCAATTTTACACCTTATTTTTAGAAACTTGATAGATAACCTGTATGAAGGAAGAGATTTTTGTTGGGAAATTTAAAAAATAATTGTGAATATTTCTTGGATGACTTTTTTTTTTAATAGGTTCTAATATTCTCCTGGCTAGAATGGCAACTAGAAAAGCAAAACCAGATGGGCAGTACCACCTAAAACCAGAAGAAGTAGATGATTTTATCAGAGGTCAGCTAGTTACTAATCTACCAGGTAAATACAAATATTTTGACAATAGTTTTATTACAGGCATTTATAAGTACTTTTCATATCTATAATATAGAATTATGAGACTTTTTTTCCAAGACATGAATATTATAAAAATGTTTAAGTCCTTTTGAGTGCCATGAAAAACAATTTAAAATTCTGCATTGAATATCCCTCAAATGATTTGTCAGGACCTTAATGTTAAATTTTTTTTTTGCCTCTAATGGGTTTTACTTTGGGTATTTCTCAAGTAGCAAGACTCTAAACGTTTAAAGGGAAGATGATGAAACTGACTTTCAGTCCTTTAAATAAATGATCATTGAAATAGTTTACTCCTGAGCCAAAGATAAAGTTTTGAACATTGATTCTCCTATTTCATGCTGCAGGAGTAGAGATAGTTTTCTGAGTTTATTAAACAAGTACTTTTAAAAGTATAAATAGAATGTATGTGAGCTGTATTAGGAAAAAAGAAACCTAAAGTATTGTGTTTTCAGTTAATCCCACTCATTGAAGAAAACCTTCCATCTTTACCTTTCTCACCCAAGGGGCAGGTTGTTCAGTTATTTCATATTTTTTTGTAGTTAACCTATTTATTATAAAGTGCCTGTGTCAGCTTTGCAAAGCCTTCATGTTCATTTATAGTGAAAGTTTTAAAATTCATTTGTTAAAAATAGATTGAGTGGCATTTTAAAATGCCTGTTTTTAAGCCTAATAAAAGTATGTCTGAACTAACTTGGAAGTTTCTATTACAGGCCATAAATATTAAATGACAGGAATGCCATTTTATGGTAGGTTAGTTTTATTTATTTATTTTTTCTGAGACGGAGTCACACCCTGTCACCAGGCTGGAGTGCAATGGTGCGATCTTGGCTCACTGCAACCTCCATCTCCTGAGTTCAAGTGATTTCCCCTGCCTCAACCTCCTGAGTAGTTGGGACTACAGCTGCATGCCACCAAGCCTGGTTAATTTTTTGTATTTTAGTAGAGATGGGGTTTCGCCATGTTGGCCAGGATGATCTCGATCTCCTGACCTTGTGACCCACCCGCCTCGGCCTCCCAAAGTGCTGGTATTATAGGCGTGAGCCACCGCCCCCAGCCTGGTAGGTTAGTTTTAAAGGTTCCTGACCCCCTTAGTGTATAACTTAAAACAGTGTATTGGTGTCAGAAATGTGTAATATGACATTTTTGATGGTTGGTTTCACGATTAATTTGAGAATACTTAACCTTATAAAATCAAAATAGCAAATTACCTTAGTAGACATCACAGTTGAAACAGTTTTAATAAGAAATCTTACTGCAGTTTTATGTAAGAAGGAACTGGTATATTTAAAGCTGCATGTGAAATCTGAGTTTTAAGTTTATTATGCTAGCCATCTCTATTAGTTTTCTAGGGGTGCCATAACAAAGTACCACAGACTGGGGGGCATAAATAACAGAAATGTGTTCTCACAGTTCTGGAGGCTGGAAGTTCAAGACCAAGATGTCAGCAGGGTTGGCTCCTTCTGAGGCCTCTCCTTGGCTTGTAGGTGACCCTTTTCTCCCTGTGTCTTCACATGGCCTTCCCCATATGCATGTCTCTGTCCTGATGTCTTCTTTTAAGGATACCAGTCATTCTGGATTAGGGTCATCCATATGACCTCGTTTTATCTTAATTACCTCTTTAAAGATTTTGTGTCCAAATACAGTCACACCGTGGCCAGGCATGGTGGCTCATGCCTGTAATCCTAGCAATTTAAGAGGCCAAGTCAGGTGGATCACTTGAGGCCAGGAGCTTGAGACCAGCTTGGCCAACATGATGAAACACTGTGTCTACTAAAAATACAAAAAAATTAGCCGGGGGTGGTGGCACATGCCTGTAGTCCCAGCTACTCAGGAGGCTGAGGCACAGGAATCACTTGAGCCCAAGAGGCAGAGGAGGTTGCAGTGAGCCAAGATCACACCTTTGCACTCCAGCCTGGGCAACATAATGAGAGTGAGACTGTGCTGGGAAAAAGAACAAACCAAAGAAAAAAACCAACCAAATACAGTCGTCACACTGTGAAGTACTGGGTTAGGACTTAAGCATATAATCTTGGAAAGACATAGTTTAGTTCAAAACACTATCTTTAAATGGAATCCTTTTTGTAGTTTGTGTGTGTGTGTGTGTGTGTGTGTGTGTGTGTGTGTGTGCGCGCGCGCGCGCGCGCGCGCATTTAATAGAAATAGAGAAGTTTTAGCTCCTTGACCTAGTAATCCTACCATTCACATTCATTTGCTCCCTGACTGGAAAGACTTTATTTCTTGAAGGGCAAGTGTGAAGTTACATATCCTGGCCAAGCTGAGGCACAGCCTTGAATTTCCTAAGCAATATTTAAAAGATAGGGCAGCAGAGTTGGCTTTCGCTTCTTCAGAGCCAGATTCTGTATCATTCACAGTAGTTCATGTGGTTTTCATAAAATCCCCAAGTTCTTAATCTGTTACAGAACATTTCAGGTATGTAAAATATCTACTTTCTCCATTGTTATTCCCATCTTGAAGTGTGCACAGATTATAATCTGGTCCTTTAAAAGGGGTTTTATATACGAGAGGGAACCATCTGTGGTGGAGGGCTTTATATACAGTGAAAGTCCTGAGAATTATTTTTGTAAAGAAAGCTGTTTATCTTTGTTAAAGACTAGTAATTTCTCAAAGATATTTGGTGATAAATGTACAGTACCTACTTACATCTTGTGGAACATGCTTTTTGGAAACTTGCTTCTTTAACCAATAACCAGGAGAATTTCAGTGATAACTTGCCCCATCTCCAACCTCTTTAGCCCCTTGTACCCATAAATGTTTATTGACGACATATGTGCTGTGCACAGTAATAATTAGAATAGCTACATAAGAAGAAAAAACACAATAGTAAGTTTTTGCTTTACTCCACAGAATAATAATTATGTATTACACTAACAAATAAGTTACTTAATATGATCTGGTTACCTAATGAAAGAAAGGATTGACCCCAACAACTGTTACAGTATAAAGAACGATTTCTACTTTTTCTTTGGATCTTTGCAGGGCTTTTCACCCATGCATGTGCTCTTCAGTGAAGGGCCCTATGCACCTCATTCAGCCTTTGCTGGGTTTGTGCATCCAGCATATGGATTCCTTGTCTGTCCCGTTTTCAGAGAACCACCGTGAGCACATAGGTGTTCGTGAAATCTGCACTAATACAGGAGCCACGTAGCCAAGTGAAGCTAGTACAGTTTAGAGTTAAATAAAACTACCAGTTCAGTTCCTCACTTGACCTGGCTACATTTCAGGTGCTCAGTGTAGAAAGTTCAGTTGAACAGCACTCCTGTAGATGGTGAAAACTTTATTCTTTGAAGTTTACTCCTCTGTGTCTGTATTGGATAGCCAAGTTCTGGATGCCAAGGAGGGGACGTTATTGGCCACTTTTAACCTAGGGTAATAGTTCCCCTTCAGGGACAGATGCCAAATCTTTGTTGCAGTTGCTTGACCAGGAGCTTCCTTAACTCTCTCATCTCTTCTTTGAGATTTAGTTCTAAAGGAGCATATTTTTCTTCACCTTTTTTTTAATAGGTGGCTGCACTGTTTGGGCCTGGAGCCCCCTTTGCTTTTTCCATAGAATTTCCATCTTTACCTGATAAATACCTGCTTAATTGAGGCATTTAGTTAAAACTAGCAACCGTCTTCAAGGTTTTGGTCCTATCTCCAAGCTTAGTTTTCCCACCCCAACTCAAAAGTAATAGGAGTTGGAGGTAGACCACACCCCCTGCTCCCTACCCCACCTCCAGTTCAGGTCATTTCATTCCATCAGATGAGCTTGCATAGAGAAGAGTTGTGCTTCTTTCCTAGAGGGACATTCCACTTAGATTAGATTGATTATGTTTAACTTGGTGATGTTTAATATAGCCTTTCCTTTACACCTGTAGTGCATAATAATTTTGTTCTAATATACTAAAGATACTCTAAACTATGGGTTTCTCCCCACGCCCATCAACGCCAACACATGCACACACTAACACAATCCAGAATGATTGTCTCTTGCTAATCTTGCAAGTTCCTGAGAACAGATTGGCTCCCCAGAACTGTAAGGGAAAGATCATGGTCAGATTATGGGAGTGGGAATTGAGGCAACAATGGGGGAGAAAAAAGAGAAAGAAAGTCTTCCCTGATGCTAAGAAGTCTTATGACAAAACAGATATACAAAAAGGGAGGCAGAAAGCCTTTCCTAAAAGCAAATAGCTGTGCAAAGTGTCTGTCTACCTTTGACCAACCAAGTACGTGATTTGTCTGTTCCCTTGTGTTTCTCCTCCCCATTTTGGAAAACACTTAGGTTTCACTTAAAATTTTACCTTTTGGTGAAGGGTACTTCTCTGGAAGATTGTGATTGTTTGTTAACTCAGGGTCTTTGGTATTTACTTGGCCTTTGTTCTGGCTTGGATTTAAAAATGGCACAAATGTGAACCAGCACCTTTAACACCTTTTCATCTCACTTCCATTAAGGAATAAAATATCTGGTTTAAACTTGTCTGACACACATTGATGACTTCGTAACCTTGTGTTATATATCAGTTCCATAGATTTTCCTGGCAGAACTTGGACTAGATAGTTGTTCTGTGCTACTGAAGACCACTGAGAAGGATAGGAGTTAGAAATAACAATAATAACAATGAACAGAAGTTAGCAGACTTCACTCTGAGCTCTCTTTTTTAAAGACAGGGTCTCGTTCTGTCACCCCAGCTGGAATGGAATGGCAGGTTCATAGCTCACTGCAGCCTCGAACTCTTGGGCTCAAGGGATCCTTCTGACTCAGCCTGCCACGTAGCTGGGACTACGGGAGTGCACCACCACACCCGGCTAATTCTTTTTTCTTTTTCGTAGAGACAGGTCTCCCTTAGTTGCCCAGGCTGTCTTCAGACTCAGACTGCTGGCCTATAGCAGTCATCCTGCCTTGGCCTCCCAAAGTATTGGGATTACAGGTGTGACCAATGCACCCAGCCTGAGTTCTCTTTTGATAATTTCTTACGGAAGACCAGAAACACAACACTGTCTTTTCCTCATTGATGGAAAATTTTTACTTGATGGTGTGGAACCATTTAAATGAGATTATAGTTTCCTTAGGTTACTTACTCCAAACCTCTTTCCCAGATTTGTATACCTTTTTAAAGCATTTAGGGCAAGTTGAAGAAAACCAAGACTCCAACTTAGAGCAACATAGTTTATCAGTATCCTTCGGGTGGGGCTCAAACCTTACAGCTTGCAGAACAGGACACAGGGACTGCTACCTGCTGGCCCAGCTGTAGGAGGGCTAATATCTCTTCAGAGAGAACCACCAGTTGGTTTGCTTAGGATCCTTCATCCTCAGGTCAGTGGTACTACTTTTGTTCAGTATGATAGCATGTAGCATTTTTGCATTTGGGCCCATTTTTTGAATTCTTGTTCTGTTATTCACTGAAAAAATGCAGCTGAAACCATTGTGAAATTTGATGATGACTGAAATCATGATAGAGTCCCTTACATTCTGTGAGTCAGCTAGTATATTTGTAAGTCACACTATAGACTTGTTTAAATGATGGTTGATTTCTTAGTTGATTTTGTAAATAAGATACATATTTTGATATTATTCACTAATAAGGAAAGTGACATTTTTGATAACTTGAGTTACACATATTTTAAAAGTTTCTGGTTCATCTCTGTGTGGAGTCCAAATTGAGAAGTAGATTCTAGAAATACTCCCATTAGCATGATTTTGCACCAAAAAATTGTTCAGCCTATGGATGCTTCCGTCATGTCACCTAAAGACTTTAAAAATTATTTTAAATTAGTTGTTTTGTACATAAATGGTGGGTATTTTGTATTAATACAGTTGTTACTAGTAGCTTATTCTGCATAAAGAACTACATATATTCCCTTTCCTAGGAGTTGGACGTTCAATGGAATCTAAGTTGGCATCTTTGGGAATTAAAACGTGTGGAGACTTGCAGTATATGACCATGGCAAAACTCCAGAAAGAATTTGGTCCCAAAACAGGTCAGATGCTTTATAGATTCTGCCGTGGCTTGGATGATAGACCAGTTCGAACTGAGAAGGAGAGAAAATCTGTTTCAGCTGAGATCAACTATGGAATCAGGTTTACCCAGGTACTGATCATTGAACAGATTTTACCATCTGTTGTTCTTTATATTTTTACATAGTCCTACCTCTCTAATGAAACCATAAGACTCTTGATGCTTGAAATTAAGTCTTAAAACTGTTGTATTCCCAGAGCCTCAAGAAGGTCTTTTAAGGCAATGTGTGAAAAGGTATAGCCTAAGATAGGACTGAGACTGAGGAAACCTAGCTTTTGGGGAGATATACTAAAAGATTATGCTTTGGGGGCTAGTTCTTAGAGAACTTGAAATTATAATTATTTTCATTTACAGTGAAAAAAAATGAGAAAAATATTTTTAATGTTGAAATGCTTTTTAAGCTGTAGTTAAAATTAAGTTTTAGTGAACCCCTCCTTTTGCATGCCTTTGGAAAGCTACAGCACAGATGGCTGAGTAGTTTCCATTTTCCTTCAGATTATGGATTTGGATATGTCTTCAATTTGTATGTACAAATGACACCATATCATAAGGATTTGAAATGTGATGAGTTAATTACACTCTGGTGCCTACACTGTGGACCTCAGGAGTTTGTTTCCTTAGGCATGGAGATAGAGGATGGTTGGGCTAGCGCAGTTTTGGAACACATATTTTATTAGCATAACTTATTAACATAATTACAAAATAATTTCATAAGTCATTGATGGCATAGAAAATAAAGGAAAAATATCTTTTAAAGTACTCATTAATTTTACTTTGTTAAGAAGGTGGGTATTTTTATTTAATAGTTGAGGGTATTCCAAACTTTTTTTTTTTTTTTTTTTTAAGATGGAGTCTCCCTCTGTCGGTCGCCCAGTCTGGAGTGCAGTGGCACAATCTCAGCTCACTGCAACCTCTGTCTGCTGGGTTCAAGCAATTCTTCTACCTCAGCCTCCCGAGTAGCTGGGAGTACAGGTGCCTACCACCCACCCAGCTAGTTTCTGCATTTTTAGTAGAGACAGGGTTTCATCACATTGGCCAGGCTGGTCTCAAACTCCAAATCTCGGGCAATTCGCCTGCCTTGGCCTCTCAAAGTGCTGGGATTACAGGCTTGAGCCACCATGCCTAGTCACTTTTTTTTTTTTTTTTTTTGAGACGGAGTTTCACTCTGTCACCAGGCTGGGGAGTACAGTGGCAGTGTCTTGGCTCATTGCAACCTCCACCTCCTGGATTCAAGTGATTCTCCTGCCTCAGCCTCCCGAGTAGCTGGGACTACAGGTGTGCCCCACCACATCCAGGTAATTTTTATATTTCCGTAGAGATGGGGTTTCACCATGTTGGTCAGGATGGTCTTTATCTCCTGACCGCCTTGGCCTCCCAAAGTGCTGGGATTACAGGCGTGAGCCACTGTGGCCGGCCCACATTTCTTTTTAATAGATGCTGAGCATGATAGTGAGTGACCAACATGTTTAATATTCAAAGTTAAAATACTTAACAATTATTAGGTACACAGGAAAGTGGAATGGAAGTTTCTTCATGTTTGTCTTTCCATAGCCAAAAGAGGCAGAAGCTTTTCTTCTGAGTCTTTCAGAAGAAATTCAAAGAAGACTAGAAGCCACTGGCATGAAGGGTAAACGTCTAACTCTCAAAATCATGGTACGAAAGCCTGGGGCTCCTGTAGAAACTGCAAAATTTGGAGGCCATGGAATTTGTGATAATGTTGCCAGGTAAGCTCATCACAAAAATGATAATTGGTAATTATATTTCAGTACAGGTTGTTCTAAGTAATAGAAAATGAAGAAAACCAAGGAGGAGTTTGAATAAAGAGCTGTAAACCCATGTTACCTGGCATTCTGTAGAAGCAGGCATCAGTCCAAGGCATTCAACTTAGGTTAACACACTTGGTTTCAGCCAGGCCTACACACGTGGAGGTTGGTTTGACAGCATTCCTGACCTTGGCAGCCCTTGCTTGGGGTCTTCAGGCTGTTAACTTTCCTGCATTGACAGAAAGGGCAAGGCCACAGACCAAAGGGACTGCTATAGTTTTTGGACTTGGTAAAACTTTATTCCTTAGGGAAATTTCAGTGTGTTTCTTAAAAGCAATGATACGGGCCAGGTACGGTGGTTCATGCCTGTAATCCCAGCACTTTGGGAGGCCAAGGCAGGTTGACCACTTGAAGCCAGCAGTTTAAGATCAGCCTGGCCAACATGGCGAAACCCCATCTCCAGTAAAGATACAGAAATTAGACGGGCGTGGTGGCGCTTGCCTGTAGTCCCAGGTACTCGGGAGCCTGAGGTAGGAGATTCAATTGAACCCGGGAGGCAGAGGTTGCAGTGAGCCGAGATCACGCCAGTTCACTTCAGGTTGGGTGACAGAGCAAGATTCTGTCTCAAAATAACAATAATGATACACAAAGACAGACTATAGTAGCTATAAAAATGAAGGTGAAGGAGAGCAACTTCATTTACATAGGTGCGTAAATTTAATTGGTGAAAAGATGAATGAATCACTGTAGTGTCTAAAAACCGGTAAAAGCACTTAAAAGCCCTATTTTTTTATTTTATTTTTTTTTTTTTTTTGAGATGGAGTCAGGCTCTGTCCGCCAAGGCCGGAGGGCAGTGGCGTGATCTCAGCTCACTGCAAACCTCTGTCTCCTGGATTCAAGCGATCCTCCTGTCTCAGCCTCCCAGGTAGCTGGGGCTACAGGTGTATGCTGGCACACCCAGCTAATTTTTGTATTTTCAGTAGAGATGGGGTTTCATTATGTTGGCAAGGCTGGTCTTGAATTCCTGACTTCAAATGATCCATCCACCTCAGCCTCCCGTAGTGTTGGAATTATAGGCGTGAGCCACAGTGGCCTCTGAAACCTTGATTTTTTATGTCAGGGCCAGCCACTTAATATTAAACTTCATGTAAGATTTGTGACCACTATGAAGATACTTGGTTTTACATGTCATTTTACCTGTCAAACCAAAACCGTGTTTTATCTATTAAACCAAAATTTTGAGACTTTTGACACTGAAAGCTACTTATAAGGGACTATAAAGTATAGTTTTGTTGAAGTTTAACTCATGCCAACCATACACAGTACATTCATGTATATGATGGTATTGCTAGATTATGAGGTGACTGCTCTTAAACAGAGAAACTCCCAAGTTCACCGTTAATGCATTTGTTCACCATGAAAGCAGGAATTATAAATTACGATTAAACAACATAATTTATAAAATACATTTTTTTATCAGTTGATTATCTTGAATTATTATATTTACCTACCTAAGTGTTACATATATATCTCAAATAGTAAATAGTATTGTCAGGTATTTATTTACTTTAAAAATTTATTTTTGTAGAAACAGGATCTCGTTCTGTTGCCCAGGCTGGTCTTGAACAGTCCTTTTGCCTTAGCCTCCCAATGTTTTGGGATTACAGGTGTGAGCCACTGTGCCCAGCGTTTAGGGGCCATTTCTATAAGTTGATTAAGTAATACGATTATCTTTTTAAATAGTTTCTGAGGGAAAGTCAGATTAAATTTATATTTTTTTCTGGGAATATTTCCTGTTTAAAGGTGTAGAACTTTATTTGTTCATTATACATGGAAAGGACCATCCAAAACATAAAATAACTTTCCTTTGGAAAGAGAACTGATAGTAATTTATTAATCTGTTACTGTGTTAGGAATTCTATTTGCCATGAGACACTCTGCTCATGCCAGAGAACCTCAAAAGGCTTTGATGAAATGGTGGGTGAGGTCAGCACATCTTTGGGACCTAATAATGCTGATGAATCATTTGGTCCTCCTTCAAGAGCTCTTAAAGAGCTAAGAATTGTATATTGGCTTTGCTCTATAAACACAGTGAAAGGAGAGTCAAGAACCAAAATACAGAGAATTTGAATATTTGCTGTACCTCAGCATATATTATTTGTGCATAATCTTAGAACCTAAAACTTCTCTTGGAATCAAGAACATTGTGTTTACCATTCATTTGTACTTTGGTTGGAGAACGTTATTTATTTATGTATGTGTTAACTAAAATTTATCTTTTTCTAAATTTCTCAACTTCATTTTCAGTTGACCCACGTGTCAATTATTGTTACCTTAAAGTTCCAGTGTTGCATAATTTTTCTTTTCCCCCTTTGTTGCCAATGTAACTAGTATTTTTGGCTTCCTTGAATGGAGATTATAGCATTCACTTTTATAACCTTCTTTGTAACTGTTTACAACTTTTCTATAACTCTTTAAACAGTTCCATACTACTGAAGCACTAGTGAATACATATGGAATGAAGCGTTTGTTTCTTAATTCTAACACTTACAGGACTGTAACTCTTGACCAGGCAACAGATAATGGAAAAATAATTGGAACGGCGATGCTAAACATGTTTCATACAATGAAATTAAATATATCGGATATGAGAGGGGTAAGAGTATTATAAAATTGTAAATTCTGACTTTCTGTAATGTTTCTCTTATTTGAGGCTTGCTCTCAGAAGGCCTATTGCTGGGGTGTAGGGACTTCATATGTAGATCTTTAGCTGCTTTGTGATACAAGAAAAAGAAACAAAAATTCTTGACTTTCTCTGATTTGATCTCTTTCATTTTCAGATAATTTTCTTAGATTCTTATTGTACTTTCCAAGTTACCCCTAATTAACCAGGGGCTAATATACATGTTCCCCCGTTCTTGTTTTCTAGAAGTGGATATAACTACTAGGAGTATGAATACATAAATTTTGTACCTTTAAGGTCCTTTTTAATCAGACACATACTCTGCTGTATGAAGACCTAGAAGGAAGTGAAACCACAGGCACATCAAGATGCCTTTGAAACAGGCAAAAGGCATCAAAATGTCAAAGCCGTAGATTTTTGGTTTTTTTTTTTTTGAGATGGAGTGTTTGCTCTGTTGCCCAGGCTGGAGTGCAATGACGCGATCTCAGCTCACTGCAATTTCTGCCTCCTGGGTTTAAGCAGTTCTCCTACCTCAGGTTGCCAAGTAGCTGGGATTATAGGTGCCCACCACCACGCCCAGCTAATTTTTAAATTTTTAGTAGAGACAGGGTTTCACCATGTTGGCCAGGCTGGTCTCGAACTCCCTGACCTCAGGCGATCCACCTGCCTCAGCCTCCCAAAATGCTGGGATTACAGGTGAGAGCCACTGTAACTGGCTCTCATCTCTACTGAAAATACAAAAATTAGCTAGGTGTGGTAATGCATGCCTATAGTCCCAGCTACTCGGGAGGCTGAGGCATAAGAATCACTTGAACCCGAGAGGCAGAGCTTGCATGAGTCCTCCAGCCTAGGTGACACAGTGAGGCTATCTCAAAATAAAAAATCTTTAGAGCTTTAGTTTTATGTGTGCATGTGTAAGTAAGGGTTGTTTTGGCTTGATGTGGGCTTTGTTGAAGTATTAGCCACTAAGCCAGCCATAAGTGAAATTTCTCCCTGAAATGCTGTTACAGTGGCACTTTATGGAGGGATCTGCAGTGTATGTACTGTTCTTCACTCCCACCAATATTTTTTGAAAAGTATTTCATTTTAAAAAGATAAAAATCGTGAAGTTTCCAAGTAGACTGTCCTCAAAATTTTTTTTATTCTAATTTAAAACCTCAGTTGACTAGAACATCAGTGGAATACAGTATTCCACTTGTTTGGATTTTCTGATTTTAAAGACCTTTTGGTGTATTTTGGGAGAATTGGATACTTTCAAGATTGAGATGAAAATCTAGAAATTGTTTTTGTAGTAAGTCATATATAAGACTGAATACTTTGATTTACCTTTATTCTATAAACAGGCTCTAGGAGATAGTGAAAAGGATTTGCTGAGGATTTTGCTTAGTTGAATTCATATTTTCACTTTAGTTTTCCTAGAAGGACTTCTTTTTTCTGGGTTCTAGGTTGGGATTCATGTTAATCAGTTGGTTCCAGCTGATCCAAACACTTCCACATGTCCCAGTCGCCCATCGATTCAGTCAAGCCACTTTCCTCGTGGGTCACACTCTGTCCGTGATATCTTCCAAGTTCAGAAAGCTAAGAAATCCACAGAAGAGGAGCACAAAGAAGGTTGGTGGTCATCAGCGTCGTTCTTGTTTAAGCGCTGCTTATGTCCTTGGAAAGATGGCAGTTGGTTTTAAAATTGACACAGCATTATGTGATTTAAAAAATATTTATATTCTTCATTATGATGAATCAATAATAAAGTTATTTTATTTGCAATAGACAGAGGAAATCAGGGATTAAAGGCCCTGCCCAATGATCTGAAGAGGCTATTTTCTGTATTTTCTCTTTGTAGTATTTCTGGCTGCTATGGATCTGGAAATATCATCTGCTTCTAGAACTTGCACTTTCTTGCCACATTTTCCTGCACATCTGCCGACCAGTATCAGTCCTGATACTAACAAGACTGAGTCTTCAGGGAAATGGAATGGTCTGCATTCTCCTGTCAGTGTGCAGTCAAGACTTAACCTTAGTATAGAGGTCCCGTCACCTTCCCAGGTACACTTTTATGGTCCTAAATAAGTACAAAAGTCGTTTACAAATGAAAATGGCATTTTTATTTCTTCACCCATTTAAGAAAGGGAGAAAGGGCCACTTGTTAGGGTAAGTCATGATGTTGATTCTAAGTAAGCAATAATTGGGTTGAGTGAAAGTACTTTTGCAAAGATTTGCAACTCTTTCAAGTTATAAAGTGTGGTTGAAAGGCAGGCCTCCTGTGAACTGCCATTGTCTGTGACAGTGGTCATTATGTAGACTTACTGATTAGTGGCGAAGTAGAGGCCTTACTTCAAAGGGTTTTTTGCAGTATTTGCAAACAGGTTTCTGGGATGGTTTAATTCAGCTTGTATGGGCTGTACATGCATACTGCCAGCATGGCTGTACTGCTGGCGTGGTAGCACCTTAAGCTATACTGGGAAGTTTATTTGTTCCTCCATCCACTTCCCCTCCATGGAAGGAGGCCGAAGGAAATGTTAAATACTGGCTGTAAAACTAGGGGATGGGGTAATTCTGATAGTTTGTTGTATTGGTTCCCAGCTGCTGGTGACAGATACCCACAGTTGTTCCTGGCAAGTTAAGATTGGCCTACCCAGCTGATGGGATTGCATGTTTCCAAAGAGCCGAACGTGCATGGACAGGTGGAGGGAGGTCCTGGCTAAAGGACAGTGGATTCTGTCCTGCAAGTTAGAGAAAAGTCAGCTTCTAGAAACCCTTTCTTCTAGCGTGCCACTCTCAGAGTACAATTATTTGTATTTTTTGGGGAGTCTCTCATCTGAAAAGTGAACCTTTGACCCAGGATTGTTACCTGTCCAGACTTTAAACATGTGCCTCGGGCCTTCCCCCCTCCCCAGGGGTGGGATTTGGTTTGAGCTTCACCAAGGCTATCCATATCTGTTGGCTCCAATTGCAGGACATTCCCTGAGTTTATTTGGCCTTACCTGGTCACATGGTGGTGGCTGGTAGTGTATACACTTCTCTCCAGTCTATACATACTACTTCAGGCTTCAGTGACAAAAGGCCAAGACATTCCAAAAATGTGCTTATTTGAGGGTGGCTTTTGTAGCTTGATGGTCTGTAACTTAGATTGGTTATCCACAGTGTTCAAATTGAAATTTAAAGTGGCATGTTAATTCCCCAACACCTCATCTCTGAGCGTGCTTTAACTTCAGACTCTGTGTTCGGCATTTTATAGCTGGATCAGTCTGTTTTAGAAGCACTTCCACCTGATCTCCGGGAACAAGTAGAGCAAGTCTGTGCTGTTCAGCAAGCAGAATCACATAGTGACAAGAAAGAACCAGTAAATGGCTGTAATACAGGAATTTTGCCACAACCAGTTGGGACCGTCTTGTTGCAAATACCAGAACCTCAAGAATCGAACAGTGACACAGGAATAAATATAATAGCCCTTCCAGCATTTTCACAGGTAAGTTAACTGTGAGGACCCTCTGCTGTAGTTTCATTATTCTCACCCCGCTGCTCCAGTTCAGGCCCTGTGTCACTTGCCTTTCTCCTCTGTATCTTACACCACTTCCATGGGGGAGGGGAGGGGAGGGCGGGCTTGTCTCCATCTTCTGCATCTGCAGCTTCCTGCTGAAGCAGCAGAGGGAAGACATGGGGGAAGGCATGGTGAGACAGAAACACATTGATCTGGCCCAAACAGATCAATGGCCACACTTGGATACAACAGAGTGGAGATGTATAATCCCACATGGGGGACAGTAACAGCCTGAGTTCCTGTTCTAATGTTTTGCTTCCCATTTTCTACTAGTGCATTTTACCCTGGTTGTTCTGCTGTTGTAGTGGGTTTTCTTAAGTTAGTATTCTTAATTCCTTATTCTTGCTCTAAACATTTTGAAGATTTAACCAGGTTTGATAATTGGGGACCTGTTAAGAATTTGTACAGATCAGAAAAGTATTATTTGAAAACAAAATCTATTTTGTGAAAAACATAAACCAGTTACCATCTAGAATTAGTTCAGATTTGACTTTGACCTTGTCTTTTCCACTAGGTGGACCCTGAGGTATTTGCTGCCCTTCCTGCTGAACTTCAAAGGGAGTTGAAAGCAGCATATGATCAAAGACAAAGGCAGAGCGAGAATAGCACTCACCAGCAGTCAGCCAGCGCATCTGGTGAGCCTTGGAAGTGGCATGTAACAAAAATGAAAATAAAGAGTAATGGAGTCAGTCTAGTGTATAATTATTGGCAGTGTATAATGGCCAAAGTCCAAGCTATTAGTTGCATTAAGAGCTCTTCGTATTGGGATATCTGAAGTATACAATATGAGTAAATATCATATTTCTAATTAGATTTGTGTCTGTACTTTCATGATTTAAATACACTTTTTAGTTTTTAAAAAGTTGGAATAGGACATTACCAGAGGTGTTTTGAATTACTTGTCCAGCTAGTTGTCCTTTGAGATGAATACATCAAAGAATGTACGTTCAAAACAAAATCTGAAAGTTTCTGGATATGTATCACAAACACCAAACCCACATTTATTACTGCTTATCATAGATGAGCAATATGCCAAAGGTCAAATTAGTAAGTGGCAAAGCGAAGAGAGAATTGGAGAGCCTGCACTTTGAGCCATTGCCAGTCACAGCCTCTCACTCATGGCAGGAGGTGAGGGGTGGGCTAGGGAGACTGTTAACATTTGGGAGGAAGAAAGAGAACCCAATGCAGACTGTCGGTACTCGTGTTATCATTTTGTGGAGGATCTTATATCCATCTTCTTTTAGTGCCAAAGAATCCTTTACTTCAGCTAAAGCCAGCAGCAGTGAAAGAAAAGAAACGAAACAAGAAAAAAAAACCCATCGGTTCCCCAAAAAGGATTCAGAGTCCTTTAAAAAACAAGCTGCTTAACAGTCCTGCAAAAACTCTGCCAGGGGCCTGTGGGAGTCCCCAGAAGTTAATTGATGGATTTCTAAAACATGAAGGACCTCCTTCAGAGAAACCCCTGGTAATTCTTTAACGTGAACCTTTGAGATCTTAATGTACCTGGATAATGTGTGAATATTGCAATTTTACCCTTTGTTTTCTTAACAGGAAGAACTCTCTGCTTCTGCTTCAGGTGTGCCAGGCCTTTCTAGTTTGCAGCCTGACCCAGCTGGCTGTGTTAGACCTGCAGCACCCAATCTAGCTGGAGCTGTTGAATTCAATGATGTGAAGACTTTGCTCAAAGAGTGGATAACTACTATTTCAGGTTGGCTTGGCCTGTGTTAGATGGCCCAAGGCTGAGATGTAGTGGTCTCATGATTTGAGAACATAAACAGACAAAACTATGGAGATTTAACCCATTCCTCTAACTCTAATAAGCTTAAAGGAGCTACGCCTAAATCTTTTAAATTCTGGGGCTTGCTTTGAAAAGTAACAAAGCCCATTCCTTTGATAGCTGTAAGTTAGTGGTATAGTTGTAGAAATGCAGTTTTCCTTTATCCTTGCAGATCTCTGCCTTTCTCCTTCAAAAAGATATACTGGTCCTCATTTGAAGTTTTTCCCCTTCCTAGATCCAATGGAAGAAGACATTTTGCAAGTTGTGAAATATTGTACTGATCTAATAGAGGAAAAAGATTTGGAAAAACTGGATCTAGTTATAAAATACATGAAAAGGTAATTCATCACTTTTATCAAATGGGAAAAAAAGGCATGTCACAATGGCTAATTGAGGGTGTACTACTGAGTTTTAAACTTTCTGGGAAACTACTCATTAGGATTAATGAAAAAGTGATGTCCTTTATTTTGAAATCCCAGAGAAAGAAGGGCTATGTTGATGAGTAGTAAATAAGGTCAAAGTGTGTTGTCTTCAAGGTCTTTCTTACATGTGATTAAAATACCATAGGAAGTGGGCTAGACCCAGTGGCTCACATGTTGGGAGGCTGAAGTGGGTACATCATTTGAGACCAGCCTGGCCAAAATGGCATAACCCGATCTCTACTAAAAAATACAAAAAATAAATAATATGGGCATGGTGGCATGTGTGGTTCCAGTTGGGAGGTGGGGGCTGCACTCTAGCCTGGTCTCAAAAAAAAGAAAATTGTTTTTTGGGTGTTTTGGGATTTTTTTTTTTTGGGAGACAAGAGTCTTACTCTGTCACCAGGTTGGAGTGGCTCACTACAGCCTCTGCCTCCTGGGTTCCAGTAATTCTCCTGCCTCAGCCTTCTGGGTAGCTGGGATTACAGGTGTGTCAGCATGCCCAGCTAATTTTTGTATTTTTTTGCAGAGATGAGATTTCACCATGTTGGCCAGGTTGGTCTTGAACTTCTAACCTCAGTTACTTGCCCGCCTTGGCCTCCCAAAGTGCTGGGATTACAGGCATGAGCCACCGCACCTGGCCAGGATTTTTTTTTTGGCCAAAATCAATTTTTATATGTAAAAAGGAAGAGTCTTTAAGGACCTTTTCTAATGATGTTTCTTTTCTCCCCACCTTTAGGTTGATGCAGCAATCGGTGGAATCGGTTTGGAATATGGCATTTGACTTTATTCTTGACAATGTTCAGGTGGTTTTACAACAAACTTATGGAAGCACATTAAAAGTTACATAAATATAACCAGAGAGCCTGATGCTCTCCGATAGCTGTGCCATAAGTGCTTGTGAGGTATTTGCAAAGTGCATGATAGTAATGCTTGGAGTTTTTATAATTTTAAATTTCTTTTAAAGCAAGTGTTTTGTACATTTCTTTTCAAAAAGTGCCAAATTTGTCAGTATTGCATGTAAATAATTGTGTTAATTCTTTTACTGTAGCATAGATTCTATTTACAAAATGTTTGTTTATAAAGTTTTATGGATTTTTACAGTGAAGTGTTTACAGTTGTTTAATAAAGAACTGTATGTATATTTTGTACAGGCTCCTTTTTGTGAATCCTTAAAAACTCAACTCTAGGAAGCAACTACTGTTTATTACACTAAAAGGCTGAAAAACCTCCAGGCCAGACTGCTAAGCTCTGAAATTCCTGAGAGGTCTCAGACCGGGATTCTGCTTGTTCCAAGAAAGGGTAAAGCTTCTAAACCATCTTATTCTTGTCTCCAAGCATGAACACAGGAGCATGTTAAGAAAATCTTTACTTCTTCCAGGCGGAGAAATCTACATATTTTGAATTAGAAACACCCTCACACCCACTTGAAGATTTTTTTTCCTGGGAACATTATTGTCCCACAGATCAGAGGTGTGGTATTGTCTTTGCCTCTACTGGCCATTGAGAAACTTTGATGATAAAAAGAACGGTATAGATTTTCAAGCGTATATAAAATATTTTTATGCTATATGTTTTGCCATGACTTTAAAATAAAAATAAATAGTTTAAAAGTCTATGCTAGTGGGTATTTGGAGCTTTTTCCTCAGACACCCCACACTGACTTCAAAACAACCATAAAACTAGCTACAGATTACTACTTACTATGAATAAATCATTAAGGTTTGTCTGCTACCCAAATATCAGGAAATGTATGCATGATGGAATTTTCTAGGACAAACCATACCAAGATTAATGTATAAAAATCTCTATTGTTACCAGGTGCTGGCATTCAAGGTAGTGTGACAGTTGTTGGTAAGATGGTTCTTGTCCTAGGAGGACAACTTCTTTTGGGAGAGAAGCTACACTAACATGGAAGCCTAACACTGGTCGATGTCTGTTTTCTTTATTGGTAGTTTGGTTTGGAATTGTGATGATTACAATGGACTCACGACTACACAAGCAGTAAAAAGCAGCCAGCTGTGCTTTTACACCATGGTTTCACACAAAGCAGATAAATATCAGAATACCTAATTTTCTATTTTATAAAAGCCCTAAAAGGCATATGGCAGAAGAATGCTGGGAAGAATATGCATAAATAAAGAAGTATTTCTGACATCAAAATCCCAAGAATCACAAAATCTGCAGAAGCTTGGTTAATCAAATACTGCAGTACTGATTTAATCAGTATAAAATTGAAAGAGCTTTAGATCTGTAATAAAAATCCAAATTTGGGGAAGGGCAAACTTTAAAACAGCAGCCAAGTAGAGAAGGGTTGGGGAAAGGAGGGGTGAGTGAACAGGCACATTGGAACTGTGGGGACATGTAATTGACCACTGTCAAACCAGTGTAAGTTTCTTGGTTTCTCATGGAAAACATTTTATACACCTATTTTTCTTCCTTCCATATTTAAGTCCATTAGTGTCCAGATAAATCTGTTCCATTTTTTGTCTTGTTTTGTTGGGATATTACAACACAGTATTGCATTTACTCCAGTTCCTGTTCCATGTGGAAAAATTAGATGATTTCAAATACTTTCTTCAGCTCCACAATAAGCTGCCAATCACTCTTCTGCATTTCATCTCTGAACCAGTCTTTGAGCGCGTCAATGGACTGCCGGCTGATCTGCAATTCCCGAGGCACAAACAGGGTAAACACAACGTAACAAACATGTACCAAATCTGTGGCCCCAGATGCCTGCTGTCACTTTAATAAAGCTTAAGCAGAAATAAAACCAGGGCTTGCCTACCTAGGGGAGTAGAATTCCAAAATCACATCTGGTTGGCATGTCAGGCACAAGGGGACCTAAAAGTCCTAGCTTCTTCTCTGTTGGTGCCACTTTCCTGACGGGGCAACTTCCTCAACAGACAAGGCCCAGCTAGAGATCAAGCCCTAATGGGGGATCCAGCCCCATCAGATTCTACAATCAACCTGAAGCCCAAGGAGAGTCTGCCATGTTTGCTGAAATACTTACCTTACTGACAAGAATGTCTGTAGCTTCAAAATGTCTTCCAAACATTTTGGGTGACTCACCAGGGATAGGTTCTATTTTTACACAGACTTCTTGTCCCTTTTTTGCAACATCCACTTGTTTATGGTTTATTTCAATACTTGTTACTATTCCGATGTCAACAAACTGTAAAATAAGAACAAATTACAATGGCATGCAGAAGAATTCATGCCCATCACAGGCTCCATGACTGGATAGCTGAAATAAGAACTGGAGCACAAGAGACTGTTTTAAAAGTCATGGCAGTGCGATCCTTCACTCATCACTTAATGTCTCACAGTGTAACATTCTCATTTGGTAAACTAGGCTAGCACCACCACACAGCCTATTCCCTTCACAATGTTGTAAGAATGACAGGAGATAATATGCTCTGCAAAACATTACAAGTGCCCTGTTGACCCAATGTCATTTTCTATTTTTGTTGTACTGTTTTACGTGACAGGTGCCCTAACAGGAGGGATCAGCAGGGACAAAGGGTCTGAGTCAGGAATGAGCTTGAGGTGACTGGTGGGAATGAGGTCATATTGAGGACCTCATCCTGAAATTTAAGAATGACGGCCTGTGAGCAGATGAGTGACGTGATCTCAGAGCTTTGGGGAAAAAACCCTGACTCCCTTGTGGAGAAAAACATTCAAGAGACTAAGAGGGAAAACAGGGAGAGCTTTGGTTTAGGAGGCCAAAGCCACATAGAAAATAATTACCACAAATAAATGTCCTGGCTTAGTCCACTGAAATGGTAGAGAAGCTATGACAACTTCTAAGTGCCATTGCCCATTACAGAAACCAGGTTTGGGGCAGGGAAAGTACTAGATGAGGCTGAAACATTTCACTGCACCAGAAAGGAAGAAGATGCTCCAGCATGCTGTGTGTCAAGAATACAGGGGATACAGGAACCAGTTTAAATCCTCTGACCACACTGGATAATCTGAGTATCAAAAGAATAAAGGTAATGGATTATAACACATAAAAAAAAAACCGCTGAGTCTATGGGATAACTCAATAAAAAAGTCAGTGGGAAGAGAGCTTGTTTATAAGAAATGGGGGGGCAGTTATCTACAATTTTTCAACTGTCTATGTAATGGTTGACTTAAGCAAGGCTTGCCAGTGGGTACTGGAGCCACTGCGATAAAGGCTGTCAAGAAACAGTATGTCCATTAGGAACTCTAGGTACCAGATAGATTAAGGAGTAATTACAAAGGGGCAAGTTTCTAATGGAGATGGCTGGCAGCTAGCACTTTCCCCAAGGAATCAGAGCATCGGTAGCAGTGACACAGCCTGGGTCATGCAAGAGGCAGGCACACAGGAACCTGCATGGGTGTGTTTCCAGTAATTCTAACCTGTGTCTAGTCAGGAAGGAGGGAAACAAAATGTACAACTGAAACTTACATTTTTGCTTGGGACACACATGGGTGTCCCCTGTTTCACCTGACCTGCTTCCACCGTCACCCCCATCACTATCGGATCTCGAGAATTAAAAATGTACTGAGGGAGTATTTTCATCTTGCAGGGGAATACTGCTATGTGCCTGAAAGCAAAAAAGAATTTTTAAGCTTATAGAATCACTTAAACATGGAAAGAAAAAGTGCAGATGAACATGAAGCTTCTGCCTTTAGAGGAAAGCAGCTTTCCTCAGTGGCCACAGGAGAGGGGCAGGCAGGGCGCTGCAGCCCAGAGCTACCCATACCCAAGGCAAGTACTTCTTCCTTTTCTTCTTAACTTTCTCCTTCCCATTCTATTGCTCCCCAAGTCTTTGCTTTCTTCTCTTTTAAAATCCTACCCCCAAAAACAGCTGTATCACAGGTTCTGTTCCTAGTCTAAAACACTGAGCCTGGCTGCTGAAAATGGCAGCCACACTCTAGGGCTTAGAACCTAGGCAGTACCTGATAACAGGTCTTCGTTTGGCACATGTGTAGGCTACTGGGGGACCACATAGACATCAAACCATATTATCATCCTCCTTTTCTCCATGTTCCCAAACCATTTGATCCAAAAAGGCCACTACGTAATTACCCTGCGTATTGAGCACATGCTTAAAGTGCTTTAAAAGTTTCCAGCAGTCTTCCTAATCAAGTAGTACTTGAGGTTTCATGATCTAAAATGAGCATATACCAGTCTAAATCCTAATGTTTACTCGTAAGCTCCACTTAAAAATGTATTCCAAACTCTGCCATCACTCCTATCGTCAGTGTGGTCTGAATCACCTAAACCTCTTGCTTGGACTATGGAAGCATCCTGAGAGGCTTTTGCCACTCACTTCCTAACAACCCAAGGTCCACATAACAACCCAGTTAACCAGTCTGATTGTGAATCAACAGCCTTGGCAATGGTTTCTTGCACAACTTAAGAGAAGCTAAATGCTTCCCATTGCCTGTAAGATCCTTGACAATACAGGTCCCGCCACCCTCTCTGACCTCATTTATCACTGTCCCCTCTGGTCACTCTGCCTTGCACTGCCATTCTATCTGGACACTCACCATGTACCTGTGCAGCTTGCTGTCTGAAGAGATGAGACGCCTTCCCCAACCACATCATTAATCACAGTCCCTCCTCTCTTTACCTAGGCCCTTCCCTGCTTTGTTTTTTCAGCACTTCTCATACATGTGTTGATTGTCTCACATAAGAGCATGTCCCAGGCCAGGTGCAGTGGCTCAAACCTATAATCTCAACACTCTGGGAGGCAAAGGCAGGAGGATCACTTGAGTTCAGGAGTTCAAGACCAGCCTGGCCAACATGGCAAAACCCCGTCTCCACCAAAAATACAAAAAATCAGCCAGGTATAGTGGCGTGAGCCTACAGTCCCAACTACTCGGGAAGCTGACGTGGAGGATCACTTGAGCCCAGTAAGCAGAGATTGGAGTGAGCCATGATCGTGCCACTGCACTACAGTCTGGGTGACAGAGCAAGACCCTGTCTGAATGGAAAAAAAAAAGAAAAAAAAAGTGTCCTCTCACTTCCAGGAGGAGGGAGCCTGGCCTCGTTCTCTGCTGATCCCTCCTCTACCACTATAGCAGTGTACGCACTGTGAGTACTTGCAAAGTTTGATATAGGAATGGATTTCTTTCCCACAGAATCTCTTACCTTATTTACCAGTTTTCCTCACTCAAATTTTGTTACTTCTATGTAATCCCAGATAAACAACCCCTACAAGATAGAAGTCCCCAAATTTAATTAACTACTAACCTGTTAAAGAGACCCAAGTCTGCCAAGATCATTAAACTGAAAGGTCATAGACAAGACTTGTTTGCACACTGTTGGAATGTCCCCAGTATGTTGGGCTCGTTTGTAACACACCACTTCAGCATGCAGCCTCTGGTAGATGAGTAAATGCCATGCTTTTGCTGTTTACAGCCCTTTCTGGAATTCAGTTAATTCTCAATCATGTTCTTTCACAAAGACTTAAAGTAAATAAAAACAGTAACTTACTTAAATTCTTCTTGTTTCTGTTTCTTGTAGTCTTGTCTGTATTTTGTAAAGGCATCAAATAAGTGATAAATAATTTCTGCACTAAAAATTCTAACTCCTAAACTATCAGCCATTTCTTGTGCATCTCGTTCAATTCTCACATCG